AGTGAATGTGTGCTAACTATGATCCATTTCCTTACAAATCTTCTGATTTGGAGTTTGCCACAGAAAACAATCTTTTATGTAGTTTTATTATATATGCAGCAAAGCGTATTGGATGAACAGTAAAACACACACACGCACACAAGCACAAATATATATTGTTAAACATATGTATATAGTTAAACATGCACAGAAAAGCATATTAGAAAAATAGTAACACATATACATATAGATCTATGTATATATCTATGTATAGATATGTATATATATGTATACATGTATGTATACATATGTGTGTGTGTATATATGTGTGTGTGTGTGTATACATATATATATGAAAAGCTCCCAGCCTTTCTTATAGAAGTTTTTTCCTGGTGGACTTGAACTGAATTTTTCAATATTTCTATGAACCTGTGAATCAGGCAAGATCCACTGCTTTTATATAGATAAATTACCAACAAAATGGAAAAGTAAGGGAATTAGGAACAAACTCTGAGACCAAACAAAAGGCTTTTAAGAGTCTATTGGAAACTACTCAGAAGAGCAGTTTGGGAAAATTTTTTTTCTTTTTAATTTTAGAGATCTTCTAATTTATTCTGGAGCAGGGAAAATATCAGCATTCCAGAAATGAAAAAGGCCACCTGTTTGTCTGCAGCTGTCCTGCAAAACAGAGCAGTGCTACTGGCAGCTAATAATATTTCCAGCTTGCAGAAGTGGCATGTATTTGGCATTTTATTCAGTGTTCTGTGCAGACATACAGCTTGGCTTGCTTTTATTTTCCCCAAGTTTATCTGAATATCTCATCCGGACCATGCAGTAGCACATCTGACAAATGATGGCTCCACAGTGATAAACTGTAGAACCGATTTGCAGTGCGAATACAGTGAGACTGTTTTGTATGTATTGTGGTGGATGAAAGGAATGGAAGCGGGCCAAATTCAAGCTGTTTGCCATTGCATCTGATCAGCAGATCCTATGGAGAGAATTTGCCTGCTGTGAATATTTGATTCTCGCTAGCTTGAACTATCTTGTGTGTTGGCAGTGCTACTGTGTGAATTTGCGGTGACTTTCCAGGGTGTCTGTCCTACTCAGCTGCCAATTTCTGGGGTTTTTTTTACAGGGTTCAGGATTTTGTGCTCAGCTTTGTGCGTGAGGAAAATTACTTAATGCTATACAGTGAACATGTTTTCATATTTATAACACACAGATTAAAACACCAACAACAAAAAATTAGAAGTGAGTAGTGTGTTATCATTTCCCCCCTCCCTCATTCCCTCCCTCTGTGTTCACGAAGATATAGTCCCTCCACCTGGCAAAGTGATTTTATAGAGGTGAGTCTGTCAGATTACACACCAAAAAGGATGAAAAGGTGATGGTGTTGAAATGCAGCTGTGAGAGCAGGAGCGTTTTTCCCTTCCTTCCCGTTCATCCTTCTGACTAAGTTCTCAGGGGGTCAGTGCTCTGCACCCTTATCTGTCCATCACCCTTCTTACTGGGTCATGGCTGGCTTTGCCTGGGAGTTTGCAGTTTTGTGTGTTGGGTAGTTTTTTGTTTCTGAAATTCAGGATAGTGAAACATTTACGTTAATAATTTTTGGTTTTCTATACTTACAAGTAAATGACACTGCTTGTAGTGCTGATGTAACAGTAACTGTCAGGACTCTGCTGAGACAAGCAGAAAAGGGTTGGGATTTAACCTCTCAGTGTATCCTGTGTTTGTGTCCTGGGTCTGTCACCACACTGAAGCATTTGTCTTCTCTATATAGCCTATTTAGACGTTCTATCATTTTATAGATTAAGCATAGATAAAATGCATAGATATCTGTGATATCTATAGTTTACAGATTTATGATTTGTAGATCTATATAAACATAGATATTTATGGGCATAAAATGTTATATATTAAAATAATAGATAAAATTTGCAAAATAAATGTAGGCTGTAACCTATCAGCTTGTTCTTCCTCTGTGTGTATGAAGGACAAAAGCCAGAAGAAGATTTTTGCTTGTATAGTGGTGTGGGATAAAACCAAGAGGAGCCAGCAAGGCTGACACTTGCAGGTCCTCTGGGGCTGTAGGAAATGATCTGCTGACCAAGAGACCAATTCTCTGTCTACTCCAACACTGCAGCTGCAGAAAGTAATGGCTGAGACAAAAGCAGTGTCATCTCCATTTAATATATTGAGGGAATTGTGTGATAGTGCCTCATAGGGGCTGCCAGAGGGACCAGATTCTGGCCATGTGTCTTCTGGGACCACTGTAAAAGATACCACTCTGTTAGCTGAGGCACAGCAGCTGGCCACCCTGAAATCCTTGCCACTGCAGTGTGACCCATTTGCATGACCTATTTAACTCTGCCAAGTTGTAAGGAGCTGGGCAGGCACATCAAATATGTCTTTTCAGTTACCTATTTAAAGTAAGGATGGTTTTTATATCTTGCTATTTGTAAACCCGTTTTTTCTGCTTTCTTCAGTTTCTTCAGCAATGACAAAGAATGTTGTTTTAGGTGACTACAAAAAATACATAGTTGCAGCTAACAGACACTGAACAATAAATCCTCTTGAAAGATAAAAGCAAAATTTTTTGCGAACTGAAGAAATCAGGACCTGGTCAATGCAAGGTGTAGTAATCCTGAGAGAAAGCTTTGCTGGGAGCTGTGTCTTAATTTTAAGACTCCTTTCTCCCTTTAGGGGTGCTTTTCTCCAGTGACTCAATGGAACTAAAAAATGTGAATTTCATCTGTACTAGAGCATACCAGGAAAAGTTTAGTTTTATAACTAAAAGCAGTAGTATGAGATACATTTTTGGCTTGGAGTTAGGCAGCCTAGGCAGGTGTGCTGGAATAAATATATCACTTGAAAGCATTTTCTTTGTTGGATTTTTCTTCAATCCTTTTAAACAAAGTGCCATTTTTAGGACCACTGGGAAGTAATAATTATGAGATTGTTAGCAAAGCAGAAACTTCTTTCAGGGCTCACTGATTGCATTGTGTTGGCACATGTGGTTATTTGTGTCCATACAAGATACCAGCTTTCTGAGGAATTGTTTGGGTCATAGTATTAGTGACTGTTGACAAACATTATTCATATGATGACCATCAAAACAAAAGCGTGTAGCCAGACAGGAGTAGGTGATGCTGTTTTTTTTGAGAAGTAGGCATTTGTTCATCAGCACAAGAACTGAATTTCCAGACTATGTGGCTGCCAAATAACTGGTATTTTTGTTATGGCTTATTATAACTCAGAATTGAATGTCTGGCATAAAGATGGGTGTAATTAGTTATCTTCAGCATTCCTCCTCCTTTGATTGTTTTCTAAGTCTATTAGGTTACTATGACCTCTAAGTCCTGTATATTTTTGTAAATTTGGAAATAGTGTTAGGATTTTTTTTTTAATGCTTTTGCATTTTTGTTTGGTTTGTTAGATTTACACATTGCTCCACCAACCATTTGAGAGTGACCAGGACTGTCCTCCATCAAAGACTAAACATAAGAGTTATTCATGATGCAGTTGGAAAAATTATAATGCAAACAGTAAGCCAGATGGAAAATTTTACAGGCATCTTTTCATGTCATGAATGATGCTGTCTCTCTGGGTTATGGGCTCTCTGCTCTCTCAACTGCTGTTCCTTCCCCCTCTGGCTCTCCTCCAGAGCTGTTAAGTTTCAGCCAGGGAAGAAAGGGAGATTTGAACTCCTCTGAATTTCCAAGTCTGTGTTTTCTGTGGCGTGGCTGGCGAGCTTTGTGTGCGAGAGTGTTGGCATGCCGAGAGCCACAGCGATTAGCATGCTGCTTGCAGAACAAACAGGGCTGCTCTCCCCGAGCCCCAGGAAAGGCCTGGGAGCAGATGTGGGGAGAGCCCTGCTCACCAATCCTGCTCTGGCATGCAGAGTGGGTAAGAGCTGAACACCACCAGGCTACTGTGCTTCCCAGTTTTTATGAAAACAGGTCTCCACCGCACACTGTGGTTCAGCTCCTCTGTAACTCCTCATGTGGCAGCTTAGCTTTAGGTCTGAGATGAGACTCCTCAAAGAATTTCATGCTGTACATTTTATCTTGACTTTTCCACACATCTACCGTTGCAATTGCTGATCTAGAAACGTGTGTATCTAAAAACTTATTCTCTACTGGCTTGCAAGATTTATCCATGTAAAACATATTCACTGGTTCTGTAACAGGGGAGTGGTGTATATGCATATGTATTAAACCTGTATTAACTGTATATGCACGCATGCAGATTCAAGCTCTGTGGTGCAAACCGAAGTGTCATTGCTTGGACTTGGTTTGAAAGAGACATATCAGTTGTTACTTACCCTCTCTTAGTTATTAACTTCCAATTTTTACACTTTGAAAAGAGTAAATCTTCCATGAGATGTGTTACAAAATTGGTGTTGTTTCATCTTAGAGACAGTGGCCATGTGGTGTAACTTCAAGGTTTTTATTTCAGGAGAACGCACCTATATCTTCTTCTCAGTAGCTTCTGACTGGTTACATTTAGAGAGGCAAGAGAACAGTTGTTTTAAGTGGACTGCTCATGTCTGACATGCAAAGTGTTTCTTGAACAAATTGCTTGCCTAAATGGTGGTGGGCTTTTTCATATCTACTCTTCCTGCTCCCTGCAAAAATCACACCTTTTCTACTCTGTAACATGCTGAGGTTGTGTGGCAGCCTCCAGTAGTAAGTGGAGAAATCAGTGGGCCTTTTCCAGTTAAAAAAGTTGCCAATGTCTGTGTTTGAAAAGAAGCAAGTCAACAAGCTTGTTGTAGTTGTTTTCTTGGGGGAAAAAATGAAAAAGAAAAAAGTTTCATACGTTTCTGGTTTTCAAACAAAATCTACATTGACTTCTTAAATTATGTGACTGGAAATGTCTCTTGGCTCTTCATTTAGCTAATAGTATGTCTGTTCATGAGCAGTTACTGAATTGGGGAGAAGTTTGCTTGGTAAGATTTTTTTTCAGTTAAAGAGAGTTTAAAGTGTTGAGGGTTTATGCTTTTTGTCTCTTTCCAGGATAATATCATATTATTCTTAAGAGGCTGCAAAGAACTGGGACTTAAAGAATCTCAGCTTTTTGATCCTGGTGATCTGCAGGACACATCAAACAGAGTAACCATCAAGTAAGTACAGCAGTCTGTGAATAGCATGTTACAGCCTCAGGTGCATGTGATGCAGTAGTAAATATTTAAGAATGAGCAAAAAGGCTATAGGACTGTGATTAGTATAAGGCAAATAGGTAGCAGATGTTTGGGAAACTTTCAGTGCTGGGATGAATAGATTGTTCTATTCAACAGGTTTTGTCCCAGAGACATCAGCCATAGCTCTGTAAAATAGGACTTGGAGAATGCTCTCAGGCCTGTGGTGTGACTCTTGGGGATATCCTGTTCTGGGCTAGGAGTTGGACTTGATGATCCTTGTGGGTTCCTTCCAACTCAGTTTATTTTGTGATTTTGTAAAAATACTGTCGTAGTTAGGCAATGAAATTCTGAGGGACTTAGGGGTTTTCCTAATCTAAATTGATGGCATTCTTTGTCTGTGCAACTAATAAAATATTATAGTCTGGGGGACAAGAAGTCACAGCTCTGTTATTTCAGATGAAACTGTTCTGATGGTGCAACATAGGACATTTAGAGGCTGCTCAGATTCTATGAGATGCAGACATAAGAATGGTCTCTTCACTTTCTTGCAAGAGCCTTCACTTTCTTGCAAGAGCCATAGCTTGAGAAACACAGTAATTGTGCTGAGGAAGTCTGTGAACTGGAAATGCCACAATTTACATAGTTTTTCACAAAAGCCAGACTCTCACTGCCACACGAATTGCACGGGCCTCCCACCTTTTAAAAGCAAAAGCACCCCACACTTTCATAAAACCAACAAAATTTATAGTTGGTGTTATTTTGAAGTTTTCCTGAAAGTTTTGGGTCTATTATGTAATATTACAGTTATAACAGGAGTTATTGCTCTACAGACAAGCAAATGCTGCTGAGTTGATTGAATGGTCTAATTTCATTTGGCCAGAAAGATCACTAATGAAATCCTGGTCCATATCCATTTTAGAAAAGTATATGGAAACAATTTACTAAATTTCAGTAGCATTTTTTTTAATTCCTTTCTGGCAATGGAAGCTGGGCAAATTTTCATAGTGTTCAGGCATTGTCTGGGAAAATTCAAAGGCTCTGAAAATCGAATTGGCCAGTGTCCTTGTTTTCATGAATACCATTTTTTGCTCCTTCCCAAGTTTCTGACTCTAACATGAGGTTTTTCTTGTCCTCTACATGGCAGTGAGTGGGGGCTATGTCATGTATTTTTTCTAAATCTGATAATACTTCAATGAAATACATTCTTCTTGATTTCCTGTAAAATCATTACAATTGACTCCAGAGAGCTGTAAAACAATCCATAATCTTCATATAAAACCCTAATCTCCATATGAAACCAGAAAGGAAGAGTCTTCCTGATAAAAACCTTCATCTTTGGGGTTGAATATGGATGGAGTACCCTGGTGGAAGCAAGTTGAGAAGCTTTGAGAGGGTGGAGCTTGAAGCAGAGCTGCTCAGTATGTCACCAAGTTAAACCTGGCATCATAAACTCTGCAGAGCTGGCCTGGCCCTCTGCTGCATATGAGGGCTTCAGAGAAAGCAGCTGTGGAAATGAGCCAAATGTTTTTCTAGCACTGTCCAAGTTCACGCTGAGTAACTGAGTTGAGGTGTACAAGCCAAGTCCATGACTGTTTTAGAGAAATATGCTGAAGCCTGTCTTCTGCTAGCTAGTTCCCAAATCACAAAGGTGATTTTTTCCCTCTTTGAAGACTTTTTGGATGATTTTTTTAAACATGGTAAAAATATTATTTGTCCTGTGGTAAAGGATGAGTATGCCATTATTGCACATGTTTAAGATAATGACATTTTAACTATTTTTTTTCCATATAGATGTTAATTGAGGCATGCATTAGATCTATTTTTTTGGATCACTCTGCTTATAAAAGTTATGAGCTAATGCTGTAAGGAATTTTTTTGTGACTTGTTGAACAAGTCTCTTTTCCACCGTTATTTTACTAAGGAAAAAAAACAGGACTGTTCTATTTTTCTTATTGTGTGGGTATTAGTGGACAAAATTTTGGCTTAAAAAGATGTTATCAAAAATACTTCGTTTACCGTTGCCTATATTTAGGCTTTTGTTGTTCTAACAAATTTGAGTACATTTATTTTTGGTTTTGTCAGATGAACTTTAATGCTGGAGTGGTCTTACTGTTATAGTAGAAGACAATTCCATTATAAATAATCAGGACACAATTTTTACTAAATCTCAAGTAGTCTTATTTAGTTTTTAGCACCTAAATGTGATACATATTTCCTTCATTTTTTAATGCTTTCTTTTCTGGATTGTGAAATGTTGTTTATGTTTGCACAAACTTTGTACCTTGTTGTTTTTAACATAAAACTGCCACTCTTCCATGAACATAAGAGAAAAAAATGAATTGAGAAGGATGATGCCAGTGTTCAGTCTGAGTGCTCAAGTATACATTTAAAAAATAAATGTTTTCCATGGCATGTTCTGTTTTAGATGGCAGGATCTTTGTTGCTTCATCCATTCACTTTGTTCTTTGTAATGTTTGTTTCCACAGAAGCACCCACAATATTTCCTTAATATTTGGTGATGCCTTTTATGCTTGTTCAGTTGCTTCCAGAATCTGTATGGGTTGCAGAGCAGAATCTGACTGTTGAATAACTCTAGAATGTATTTTAGTAGTGAGGACTTTTGTCTTTTTTAAGAAATCAGCAACTCTGTTTAAAGGAAATATTTTGGCATTGTCCTACTTTACTGTGGGACCATTATAAACACATTTTCTTTTTGTACTTCCAGAATTCTAATTTAATGATTGAAATAATGGTGACAAAATACTCCCATGTTATGAATAAATGAATGTGTGAACTACATCTTCTTAACTTTCATGTGTTTCCAGACAGCAGAAGCATTCAGCAGGCTTTTGTTAGGGAAAATGTGATCTGCTGCATACAGCCTCTTGGAAAATATGTCTACTTTCTGATTTTTTTTTTTTTTTTATCTTTATATGTGTCTGTGTGTGCAACCAGGAACATTGACTGTAGTAGGAAGCTGAAAAATGTAAGTACATCACTTGGAGTTTTTCTTTTTGCCTGGTTAATCCTGTCATTGGCCTGATCAAGAATTATGTCAGTAAAAACTGAGTACACATGAGTATTGCTGAAAAGTCTTTCTGAATAACAACCTAACTGGGTTCTGCTGGAAATTTAGGCAGAGCTCCTATGGCAAAGCAGCCTTTCAATAGAAATAAAATGGAGGACATTTGTCTCTTCTTACATACTTTTTGCTGAGTGACAAAGTGATTTCTGTGCTGTCCAGAGTGGTGTTTGTGGGAACAGTCTGATTCACCATGAAGCCACACTTTTGTAGCCCTTCACAAATATATAGGCATAGAGTACAGCTGCAGAAAGTATTTGAAATGAAGCAAAATTACCATTAAATTGGGATGCATGGCCTTTCTGTTAGGTTTGCTAGTTTTCTTGCTGTTCTTCCAAATAAATTTGTATTTCCCCAGAAAGACTATTTCCATTTGACTCCATTTTCCTGTTATTTTAAACAAAGGGGAATTTAAACTAATTGGATCCTGTACTTGTTAACTAGAAAAGCAAATGTCTAAACTATGCTGGTCTCAGTTTAAAGCCTAGCAAGCTGTCTGTCCTATTTAGCTGTAAACTGGTAAAATTTTTATTTGGCTCATACCCTTATATCCTGATAGGAAATGCCAAGATCTTCTCTAATAACTTTGAAAGCCACTAATCATAACTGCCATTACTGGAGGTAAAAAAAACCCCAAACACTAAAATCACTCCCTCCCCCAAACTGTTTCATCCTGTTTTATAGTATAGTGTCTTCCTCACCCAGTGCACAGAGTTTTAGGGGAAGGATTCAGCTTTAATATTTTAACACTCTTTGTGGGCACTGGCTAAACATCTTTGTACAGATGCATTTCTTTAAAGGTGAAGTTTCAAAAGTATCCTCCATAATGTGCTTGTAGGCAGTATATGCTTTCCAGGTGCGCGATCCTGTAGCCTCAGCTGGCAGCCAGCCGGAATTGCTTGCAAATGTGAAATTTTCTGCCCTTTTTTTTTCTTTTTTTTTTTTTAATAAAGAAAGGAAGAAGAGAGAAAGTGATTAAATGCTAGCAGAAATAAATGAAAATACCAAAAATACCATAACCTTCATCAATGAACTGAATGGCAAAATGAATTGGTCCATTTCTTGGTTGCTAGAAATACTGTTATTTGCAAGTATTTTCATCTAACTTGAAAACATATACTGTAAGACTTTTTTGCATTAAATTTATCAATTGGTGTTGGTTGAAGGAAAACAATTCAGATAAATGCTGTTTCAAGACAAAAAAAATCAGTACTAGCAACACCACCTCCTTTCATTCAGCACAGTAGTATTGTTTTGGATGTAATTTTTTTAAAAAAGGGAAAAGTTTTTGAATTTTATTAAAGATGTTACTCAATTATTTCATGACATGTATACTACTTGTAAACGGAATAAAAATATAAACTGAATTTATATATAAAACACACATTTTACATTATGTCCCACAGTTGTTTTTAAACAGAAGGGGTGTATGATGCTGTATTTTTTTCTGACAGGGCCTCAGTTGCAGTGCTGCATAATTCTGGACATTCCACTTAAATTATAAAAGGGGATTCTAGAACAAGTTGATAAGAAAAGTCTAGCATGTTGCTGAGGAGCAATGTGGATGCATGTTTTAGGAAAGAAGAGTCTGAGAGATGTCTGTTCCCAGTGAAATCCCACTTTGGGACTTCTGCTAGTCTTGTTTCCTTTAGTTCACCATATAGCATGAAGCATATGGCCCTGTCCCATCAAAACATAAAATACTATATTTTAGTTTATGAATCTTTTTTGATACAGTTAATGGCAAATGTTATTATTGGTTGCATCTCTTTTCCACATCAAAGTATTTTCTGTTTGTTCTACAGTTAAATACTTTGCAATGTCATGGAATATGCCAAAATAATGAGCATTAAATGAGAAAAAGCCCTAAGTTCTAGGGTGGTGGTTTGCCATTTTTAACCAGTGCAAAACTCTGAATTGAATTGCCTTTGATGGCAGTTTCCAGTCCAAATAGTTTCCAAATAGCTGCTGCAGAGGCATCATTAAAGACATTGATCTAAGTGGAGACATACATAGGTGCAGAAAAGGCTCTTCCATGCATGATAGAAATGTCAGCATTTTCGGATGTGTTGGATTTGACCATCCTAAGCATCTTAATTTCTCATTTTCTTAAATAAGTGCAACACCAGCAGTGTCAGGTCAGGTATCTTTGCTACTTGCAAGAGCAATTTTTGATCCTTTTGATTGAAATCACTAACTTTTATGCTGTAGTTTGATAGAAAAAACAAGATGCTCACGGTTTTTGATTAATCTTGGGCTAATCTTAAACTAGCAGAAGCCTGGAAATAAATGTTCCTGTGTCATTTGGTTACTTACATTAAGGTGATTAAAAACGGGACTCCCTTTTCTGCCCTTGAAATAGACGCATATTCCAGATGCTTTTCGGCAGGCAGGCACTTTGTTTATAACCTTGGTCTTAATGGTTTTCATTAATGACTGCTAATATTAGTACTCTTTAGGTATTTTTTTATATTTATGAACAAATATATTTGTATGTTTTCTAGAAGTTTCAGATCTATTAGTCTAGTTTTTCTACTCAGATCCATATTTTCTGTTTATTTTTCCAGGCAGATATAACACTTTTATTATTTTAATTAAAAATGCTGGGAATATAATATGTTAAGTTACATATTTTGTAGGACTGTTTAAATTTTCATACTTTCCTGATGTATTTATGTTTAACCTTTGACAGATACTTCCCTTTCAGTTCTGATTTATAAATCTTGTGCTACTGTGCAGTTTAGAATAAATGAGGGATGTTGCAGGGAAGTAACTTTAGCTACAGGACTGTGTAGATGGCTTAAATTAATTCTTATTAACTTCTGCAGGTATTAGTCACCATTTATTGGCTAGGGAAAGCAGCAAACAGCTGCACGTCATATAGTGGATCAACCCTGAACCTGAAGGAGTTTGAAGGCTTCCTGGCACAAATGAGAAAGGTATCTTTTTGTTATGTTTTGGGAATGGAAATTTACTTCAAGTGATTACTACAAAGTTTCTTGCTAAATATGAGAGAAGGGGACTGGAGTGCAAATACTTTAGTAAACCTCTACCTACATCAAAAATGTTTCTGATTCTACCAAATTCTGAAAAACACTTTGGCAGCCAGCTTTATGGTGATATCAGTGATGCAGCTAGTGATGTCAGATAGGGCTTTAGAATTGTCATGTGGCTCTTTCATCTTAATTTCCATGAGTTTTGGTTTATGACACCGGGTTTCAGCTAGAAGAGCTGAGATTCAAAAGTAAAAAGTAGTGAGACTCATAAGAGCATAGTTTTTTCTTCTTTAAAACATTCAGTCTCGTGGGCAGCTTTTTTTGGTTTTGTGTTGCAACATAAAGCATCAAACCAAAGGATCTAAACAAAGCTGAAGTGGAGGAGAAGGAGATTATGTTTCACCAAGGGCATAGTTAGGATAAATCTGTTTTTGCCAAGCTCTAAATTCTGGCTGAAATCATATTTGGTCGTTTATGATGAGCTGATCTCTGTTGGAAGGGAAAAACTGTGATTGCTGCAGGGTGGTTTGGGGGCTTTTCATTGAGCATTCTAGCATGCCCTGAACCTTGACATCTGACACTTAACCTCATGGTTAATGCTAATGGTTAGCATCCATAACCAAACCTACCTTTCTTTGGGATGGAAGGGGCAAGGAGCAGGTGTGGAAGAAGGTTGGCAGCACCATGTGCTGGCACTGTGTGTGTTGGACATACTGCTCAAGAAAGGCTGTGCAGTTACATTCTGCAGTTCACAAAGAGCTTTGTGCCTGCTGTTCCCTCCCCACCTCATGTAATGGCCAAGTCATCGCAGGCAGTAGGGTTTGGGGACCATGGGAGACTCTGGTCGTAAATTCTCCTTCATCTCTGTGCTGCTGTAACTGTGCCAGCTGCAGTTCTTCATTCTGGGATCTCCAGGGCCAGCACCACTGGAGAGGAAGAAATGCTTGTCTGACTGACAGCAGTTCCTACACCCTTGTGTGACCAGAGAACCTGGACTAGATGGACAAAGTTCCTGTTTGTGAGCCCAGTTCCTCTGAAGAAGCAGGTGAAAATGGAGAGGAAAAGAGAACATCCTGCTTCTCTGGAGAAGTTTATTTTAGTCTTCATTTTAATGACCTGTGCTTATCACTTGGGACTTTGGCACTCATGAGTGGTATGACTGAGCCTAAGAAATAAAAAGATGAAGTTAGTAGTTGAGTTGTTTGCAAATAGAAGATTTGGGATAGGAACAGTTCACACTCCAAAGGGTCTGAAAGGTGAAACAAACCCAAAAAAAGGAGCTAGCATGGAAAAATTGGCAAAGTGCAGGTTGTCACAATGTTAGTGCTGCATGGTATCATGATTTTTTTTTAATGTTTAATCTCACACCACGAGGCTCCTCTTTTTCCAGGTGATGTTTACCCATTAAACTAATCATCAGGGCATTTTGGAGGTCCTATCTTCAACCCTTTTGTGGGATGAAATAAGGTAGAGGCAAAAGGAAGCATTCTCCAGGGAGCTGGTGGTCGTGAAAGGCAGAGTGCTGCAAATTAAGGACAAAAGCAAGAGGCTGGTACTTGATTTGTTGCAAATGTTGGAGCTGGGAGAAGAGTAGAGGTCTTATAAAAGCTGAAAGCCATATATGCCTTTAATGCATAAACAGAACATTTTGCAGTCCTGAAAAAAATTATTTAGGGTGATGCTGCTGTGATGGCTGCTGTCAACTTCTTTTATCCTGTCCCTACTCTTGTACCCCTGAAGTATTTCCCACTGGCAATTGTGGGTTTGTATGTTACTGCATTTGAAGAGGATTTGGTTGTAAAATAGAACATGTTAATCATGCTGTGCAACACTCTGATGTTCTTTATAGCTGAGCTCGGGTGATGAAAAGACACTTTATCACATTCTCTACTGGCGTTTTTTTCCACAGAATTTAATAACTAAATCGACCATAAATTCAGTGTGGTTTAGTTTTTCTGTTGTAAATCCTCTCTACCCTCCTTTTTTTAATAAGCAAATCAAAAGACAGCTCTAATGTAAGTTGTCTCAGACTCATCTTTTTCTACTTCTCATGCTGAAGGGAATATTAATTTCTAATTTTATTCATTCTACTCTGATTTTAATTTCTTTAACTATTTGAGTGCTCATTCTTCTTTACTTTTAAACTAGAAATTCTCAATGACAAAATATCCATGGCTTTTTGATTATATTCAGTGGTTGGAACTTCCTGGACAAATGCATCTTGTATTTGGCAATCACACTTTAACTGCTGCTCGGTGACATACTGTGTTTTTAATTAGATAATATGAAAGACTAACGTGCTGTTGTGTGTCATGTCGTGGTGTTATCAGTCCCACAGATATGCACATTCCCACTGATAGCATTTGGGAGATGACGTTTGTTCAAGGCAGGACAAATACCCATCTGTGTGATGGCATTGTGTTGTGAGAGTGTCTTTGCCAAGGGGAAAGCTGTAAAGAACATGTTTACAGAAGTCTAGAGTCCTGTCCTGTTGCCTGCCTCCTAATTCCTAGTGAGCAGCATGCAAAATTAACACAAACAGGCCATTGAAAGAAGGTTCTGCAGAACTCATTAGTTCACAATTGGACTGCTTTCAAACTCTGGGAGATAGTGAATGTGGGATGGGGCTTTTTGCCCAGTTGAAGTCCCTGTGGCTGCTGAGCAGTTCTGTGCCATTCAAATACAGTAATTTAGGAAAATGGAAGTATGCCTAAAGATTGAGAATAGCTGATTGGTATGAAGGGATGAGCGGATTTAAGGAATTTGGATTTTTTAAAAGATTTTTGGATCATGTCACAAACGGGATTTTGATAGGATTTGTAGATTTGTTCTTGGCTGTGTCTAATTCATGCAGATTTCAGGGAGACAGATTTTTGTTGTCTATTGTTTCTATCTGTATTTTAGTTCACTAAGCAGAACTGGGAAATGAAATTGCATAGGATTCCTTACAATTTTTTTAGATTAATTTTATCTGTTTTTAGAATAAATTTTCACTTCTCTTTACTATGAGGTTACTTAATAGCATTACCACAGTTTAGCTTGGCCTTAGGTGACCTTTGCTGCTGCCCTTAATGTGGTATTTTGGCAGATTAGTAGTGAGTGGCACTAATTAGGCCTTCTTCCTGAAAAGTTTGCAGGGCATTTGGTCTGATGTCTCAGTCCCACTTCAAGCCTCCCTCTTGTTTGGCAGGAGAGTGTTGGTGTATTGCTGTGGGGCTCTCACTCTCCATCACTTTTCCAGCAAATCTGCTTTTTTGTGGAGGCGGCCTGCCATAGCATACTGTGATATTCCTGATTGATCTTCTCATTGGCAATACTAGTGACGGGTAAAACCTTAGCAGTCGGGGACAGTGGGAGCTCTGCTCAATATAGCCATTGTGCTTCAGCTAGTGGTAAGCAGGGGGTGCTTCTTAATTAGGAATTAATATTCAAATGCTTCTGGGGGAAAAAAAAAAAAATCACATTCCTGCCTCTTTGGGTCACAAAATGTCAGTCTGATAATGGCACCCACATCTCTGACTTTACTTACTGTTGGGGAAGAAAAAAACAGATTTATCTCTGAACAAACTTAGTTATTTTTGTTTTTTCTCAGTCTGTGCAATTGTAATTAATGTTAAGACACTCTCTAAAACAAGGGATTTATTATAATGCAAGGGTGAGGATGGCTTCTATTGACCTTTCCCTCTGCTGGAGTTTCAGTGTTTTAGTATGTGCTGCTTGCACTGGAAAGAATTTATAATCACAGGGCTGTCAAAGACAACCATTGTTCTCCCTGCTCTGAACATGTGGGTCAGCTACAAGTGCTTTCATATCCCCCAGAGCCAGGAGCTGGCAAAGAGTAAAGAGCACAACTGAATTCTTCTGAGGCATCGGGAAAAGCATTTTGCATATTTTTCATTGCTGATTGCTTGAGAAAGACATCCCTCTTTCATAACAGGAATTTCTCTTCAAGGTAGACGGAGGCTGGGGCACACTGCTTTATTATTTTGCCGAGCTGAAGCAGCAACAACAAATGCTGTCTGCTGAGGTCCTGGCCAGATAGAATAGATGGGCAAGGAGAGGGGGGGATCTTTTGGAAAGCAGCTAACTTAAACCTGATGCAGGCACGATGTTAAAATTGTAGTGCCTTTGGCTGCGCTATGGACTGTGGACGACAAGTCAAGTTTCAGGTTACTTTCACTTTTGATGAGTTTATTAACTGGTCTATTGGAATTTTTTCTCAGTTCATTGTATTAATCTAATGAGAGTAGTTTCTTCTTAAACAGCATAAAACTTGCTTATTGCAAGCTTGCACTTTGTTTTGATGGGAAGAAGGGGAAAAAAACAAAGATACTCTGTTTTAGGGAGGAGATTTTTAGTATTTGGGAAGATGCTTTGTTTTCTGATGTGTAATGCATCTCATGAGTATGTCAGTGCCTTCTTTATGAAGACGTTCCTGCTGTATCTCCATGTAGGAAACAGAGGATATTGAGAGCCCCAAGCGCAGCATTCGTGACAGTGGCTACATAGACTGCTGGGACTCTGAGCGCAGTGATTCCCTCTCCCCGCCTCGCCACGGCAGAGATGATTCCTTTGACAGTCTGGACTCCTTTGGCTCCCGCTCACAGCAGACACCATCTCCAGATGTAGTGCTCAGAGGGAGTAGTGATGGTAAGTACCAGCCACAGCGTGGCACATGCAGAACATTGTGACATAGAAGTAACATTTCTGGAATAAATGTGCCATTCAGAAGCTGCACTCAGCCTCTGAATCGGGCAAAGCCGATGGGAGAACTTCTCTGTGAATGCTGATCTGTGCTCCCTAAGGTGTAGGAGGTGACTTTGCCAACAGCTTACCTGAAGTTTGTCTCAAGATAGGGTAGAATTAAGAAATGACTTACATCATTGCAGTGTAATTTTATGATGGGAAGAGTGCTTTTCTGGGTTTTGGTGTAAGAGGATGTTATGCAGACTAACTTACAAACTAGGCTGAAGCAAGAAATAAAATTACAGGAGTAGGGTGTAGTGAATTGTAGTGAATAAAATGTTTGCTCAAGTAAATGCAAGGCAAATAAATGGCATAAAAATATCTTGAGAATGTCAGATACTTGACAGAGTTTTGAAGTGTGATGTACAGCACTTTATCAAATGTCATATATGTTTTTATGGCATTTAGAAAACTGAGTAAATTAATACCTCCCAGCATCAGAGCTTTTTACACATTTGTGAGAGTACAGGCAGCTCTAGGCATACAGAAGGGCTGCTGCTTCTCTGGCTTTCTTTTCTGATTCCAAGAAGTTTCAGAGGCTTATAAACGCAGCATGCTGGATGAAGAAGGATTTGCTAGGAATAGGAGTGGACCATGCAGGTTACCTGTCATGAACAGGATTCTAGTTTAGGACAAAAGCTTGCACGACTGAGGCTCTTTCTGTGCAGTTACATTCTTGATAAACAGATGAGTAAGTCAAACTTCATCATCAGATGAAGTTATGTTGCACACATGAATCACTTCTCCTTAGTAATGTTGTTTATTTAATTTAAAAAGGAAAGGCAGGAAAACTTTTTGGTAGGAACCAGATGTTCATACTGCTTTTGGCAGTGTGAAAGAAACTGGTACTAATCATAACCGGACACATGAGAGATTTCCTGAGGTGAAGGGGGACTCCTTAGAACTGGAAAGCTGGCAGGGAAAGCTGGTATCACAGTAGAATTATGAAAGAGCTCTGGGAAAATCAGAGCTAAGATCTGCTCTGCTGCTCTGAGTGGGCTGTGGTGTTTGGGCTGTTACTGGTTGACCATCCAGAACCAGCTATTGGGGCTGATTCCCTGAAACAGCCTCATAACCTCTCTGACATTGGGCAGAGCCCAGGCTCCACATTATAAAATGTTTTTCTGGCTTCTCAAATGAGACAAGCGTGATGTGGCAAATAGGAGCACTTCACATGTCCTAATTGAAAAGTGTTGCTCTATCCTGGATGCTCAAGGGATGCCCAGTGTCTCTGCTTACTTGGAGCTGGTAGGCAGCCCATTACATATGTCCTGTAGATGCTTCCTGTCAACTTCTGCTGTATTATCAATGTTAGAAAGGTTTCGTGGTTGTTTGTTAAGACATACTATCTTGTCACATTCCTGAGTCTGTAACAAACACAAAATAAGATGAAAGCACACGAAGCTTGTTCTTTGTAAAAAAAATTAATCTTTAAGCAGGGTGTGTGCAGATGCTGTGTGCACGTGTATGACTTGTCCAGCCAACACTTTCTAATGTGTCCTATTTTCCCTGCTTACTGCTGCCATAACTTCACAGCTGTCTCCTCCAACAGTTGCAGGTGAGGTGTAACTTGGCTGACCTCTTTTATGTTGAACCTCTTCCTGTGGTCCCAGCAGGCCAGTGTTTTTCTCAGCTGTGAGTAGTTTTTGATAGAAACAGTATATTGGACTCGTTGATCTTAGAGGTCTTTTCCAACCTAAACAATTCTATGATTCTATATGCAATGTTGGATGGAGGAAAACATTTTGTTTTCTATACTTCTTTCTCCATTCAAATAGGAGCTTTATAAATCAAATAATATTATTGTGACTCCTTCCACTCCTAGAAGAAAAAAAAAGCCCAAATGGCTGTTATTTAAGTGATCCTAAGGTGATTGGTTTAGGTAGAAGCAGTAAGTAATACTACCTTCACAAATGCCATCTGTGATTAGTCTCACTGTTGAGGAACTGCTCTGGTGTCCTGTGTAGAGCCTGTCCCTTAGCAAAAAACAAACAAAACCAGTAGTAGAGTAGAATGGTTGTTTAAAACACAGTAGAATTGCGGACTGAACTGCTTTTAGAGTTGCCAATGAATAAAATCCTCTGCTTGGCCAGCAGCTGTGCATGGATCCTTTTAAGAAGGATCTTTGCATGTCTATAGTGTATTACTGCTTGTTACTAGTTGCTGTAGTAGGAAACTGCTGCTGCTTCTACTTGGAAATTCAGAAAAACAAACTTAAGGTTATAAATGTAGAGCACAGCTGCATCTTCCATTTGGTACTTTGGCTTCAAGTACTTTTTTTTGCAAATTTGAGCTGAAAATAATTTCATGAGTAAGATATGAATAATTAAAGAAGCTGTTTTTCTTTGAAGTACTCAGCTTGGGGATGCTGGTAGGCACATCAGTAACAAGGGAGAGAAATGTGTTCTACTTCTTCTACTACTGTGGTTATCTATTTCAGCATTTCTGTTTGACAGTTCAAGATTGGTATTCATGTGTTACAAAAATAGACACCAGAGCAAAGTCAAAAGCAATCAGAATAGCAAATAAGAGTAAGGGATCTTTTTCTTATCTTTTACTTACTCTGTGCCCTTCTCTGTCTAATGATACTCCAGCCCTTCAAACCTCAGCTATCCTCAGACACCCATGATTTTGTGATGGTATCTCCACTTTTTGTTTAGACATAGATTCAGGGTACTGATTGTTGTGCTAGTTGTCATAAGTTCTTTACAAAAATTGTTCAAGCAAAAAATTACTGACAAAAAAATGCGTTGTGATTTTTATCTAACATTCATTTCCATTGTGTCATGTCTTTTCCTACTGTTCCTTTTCATTCTTCGTCTCTCTCCAAGCAAATCATGAATAACTCAATCTACTGCAAAAGCTCTTTGCAAGTAACATTCCTGGCATATTTAGACCTCCTTTTCTTCCCCCACTTTGAATTATACACAAGCTACTTGTGATTTTTATGACTTCATTGTTTTCAGTTGTTCACAGTACATAGCACAGTGAATTAGCTATTAATTTACTAGTGTTTTGAATTAACAAGAGGACACAACCTGAGTGACTTCCCTTCACCCTAAGAAGGGGAACAGCTAATTGCATATGCAAGTCCTGCAAAGGGGCCAAGGACCAGAAACATCCAGTTCTCCAAAGCTTGGAGAACATAAAAATGCTGATGGGACAAATGGCTGAACACACTCCATTTTACTCTTCAAACCAGGGCCCATTATAAGGTTACACTGCTGGGAGAAAACTGCTTGCATAACTTCTTTGTGTGTTATTTTAAAAGGCTCATGATGGTGCAGGGAATCTAGTGAATGTCTATGAAGTGGCTTCCAAAATGGGTATGAGAGCAGTTCCACATTGCAAATGCTCTTTAGGGTGTTTCTCCTGCAATTTGGGAGTTTCAAGTCAGAAACTTGCCTAAGTTTAAGTGTTTTAAATGGATTGTAAATATCAAGAAGCTTAGTTCATTTGAACAAAATCAAGTGGTCACCCAGCTCTGGTAACCTCGTATCTTATTCTCTCCAACTCTCGATTTTTCTCTGCTACTTTATTTCTTCACTGTAGTGATCTAACATCTAAATCCTGAGACCACTTCCCTCTCTCTTTGCACCTTTCCATCTGGGGATCAAGTCTCTGTCTATTTTGCAGTGTGCTAGACTGACTGACTAGGCAACCAGTGAGATTGGAAAGAGACCATCAAGCCTTCTGGTTCAATGCTGCTGCTGCTTCTCTGATCTTGACCAAAGCTGATACTATCTGTGTTCAAATTGCTGCGTTAATGTGTGTGTAGAAACATCCACATATTCTATATTCCATTCTGTAGCTATACAACATGGCACCTTTGCTTGTACTTGAGCTAGGCACATATTAGTCTAGGTTCAAGACTTTGAATCAGACATGGCTTTATGTACAACTAGGAGTCATCTGGGCTTTAGGTAAACTTCTGACCTATGCGATTGAGAAGTCTGGCGCTTAGTTTTAACCTAAGGCTTTTTGATGTGGCCTGTAGCTGAAGATGAATTTTTCAGGGAATGATGGAAAAAATCCATCAGCTGTCTGTGTAGATGTTATGGCTGCTAACTTGAGTGAGTGATTTTAAAATACAAATGCAGGTAAAAGTGACTAAATGTATTTTTTTTGGTGGTGTCTTCTCTGGTTCGTATTTTAAAAATTACCCAAACAACTGGATGAATGTGAAAATAAAAAGGATTTTTTTTCTCCTTCCTCACTAGGGAGAGGAAGTGACTCGGAAACTGACCTGCCACACAGAAAGATGCCAGATGTGAAAAAAGATGATATGTTGGCAAGGCGGACCTCACACGGTGAACCTAAATCAGCTGTGCCTTTTAACCAGTACCTCCCAAATAAGAGTAATCAGACTTTCTATGTACCTGCTCCACTTCGGAAAAAGAAAGCTGAACGAGAGGAGTATCGAAAGAGCTGGAGCACAGCGACTTCACCGCTAGGAGACAGACCTTTCAGGTAAGCCTGGCCTGTCCACCTTCCCCTTTCCTCAGTGACAATGCTTTAACACTTTCCCAATTTTCATTCTTTTCACAAGGTGTATGATACTGTAAAAAATCTCTTGCTGGTGTGGTACTGATAAGTAGTTTTTAGCAATTGGTGAAGCTAGTAGAAAAGCAACAAGTGGGAAGTCGTTGTTGTGATGTCATTATTTACTATACAATGCAATGTATAGCTTGTGTTTGACAAGATCTTGGTTAGTGTAAGTAACGTGGATGTTGACTCAAACCCAAGGCTGGAAAAAACTGTTCTGGACAATCTGTTTCAGTTCTCAAGATAATTATTGACAAATGATACTTAAAAGTAATGTTTTATATATTTAATAAAAATAAAAAATATTTTATTTTGTTTTGTTTTGTAAAATAAATATATTTGTATGTTGTATTTAATACACCAGTATGGTTTATATAGCTCTGACTCTGGATATGACTCTGCATGCTGGTTTTTTGAACTAATGCTTCACTTTTGATTTGGACTAAGAAGCAACTTCCTTTAAAGAGCATAATTATCTTCCCTGATTATTCATCAGAATTCATCGTTTGGCATCTTGATTTCAGCAAGATGTGCTTATTAGTGTGTATGTTTAGGCACAGCCTGCATTAAACTACCTTGTATAATTCAATAGCAAACTCCACCCTGAAACCATAGAAGAAGAACTGAATGAAACATCAGGACTGTGTGAAAAGGAGAAAGTGGATTCCATGGCTCCTGAGGGAAGCTCCCTTAAAAATCAATTAGGTGTGAATCAAAGTGAAGAAAACTCCATAGACCAGTCTTCTTCATGTAGTGCAAAAGAAACATCAGCACCCAAGGGGAAAGATGTGGAAGAGATTAAAAAGTTAAGAAGACTTGAACAAGCTGGTATTAAGGTCATGTCAGCAGCCCAGCGCTATGGCAGGTTGGCCCAACGGTGTGGGAAATCGTGCATGCTTCACAGTTTTAGGATTGGCTGAAGTTTGGGCTTCCTTGATCCGCTCTGATTTCACATCTCCTAACAAAAATCCAGTCTGCTAAGCACTCACAATCACTAGTGAAGGTCTTGGTCTGAAAAAGCTTGTGATGTGGATTGCAAAGTTGTATGATGCTAACTGCATTTGTGTTGAGAAATTGTATTGTCTTACAGCATAATGTAAACAGGCTCCAGGAAAACTACTACAAAGACTACTTCTCACCTTCCACCTAATGCTCTCTTGAATTTAATAAAAATATTTAGAAATCTACATTAAAAATGCCTAGTCTGGGTAAAAGTTTCAGAAACTTAAATTACTTTCTGCTGGTGGGATGGCTTAGTTTACTTAATCACACTTTTTAGGTGGTTGATATTTTTAGCTGTTAATAAATGATCCCTTTATTTTTAATGTCAGGAACTATAAAAGCACAGTGCTTGTTAACACATGTACCATTTAAAGTATGGAGGCATAGTTCAGCAGACATAATTTGACTGACTTTAGAATGGAATATATGTAGTTATTCACTTATTACCTGTGTTTCTTATCTTTGGATGTTGTTCAATTTGGATATTTCTTATTCTTTAACTTGAGAGCTGAATGATGACTAGGTTCACAGCCCATGCTTTTCAATCATCTACTCATGGGGATGACCTGCAAAGTAGAATTTTAGCTAACATGTCAGAAGATTAGGTACTTATAAATGATCAAAATGGTTTGGCTAAAAGGTAAGTGTCCATATGTCCTCCTGTCCAAAACATTTTGTTGTGGGTTGTGGGGTGAAATCCTATCAGTGATTAGTTTAGCAGATGCTGATCTACAGTCCAGGGCTTTGAAATGTAGTAGGGAGAAATGCAGCTAGTATGTGGTACAGTTTATTCGTAGGTGCAATGAAGCTGGTGTGCAGGCACATACACATGTGCCAAATGCAGATGAAATAGTCACAGAATATATGCTGTCACATGTCATCTTCCACTTCACTGTTTTTGAGCTGTACTGAACCAGTGTTTATGTCTGGTTGTGGGGTATTACTTTTGACAAAGCCCAGTACTAATGATGAGGAGCTATCTGGCATAAATTAGTTCTTCAAATTCATTTAGTGTGCTAGTCAATTGGGAATTCATAAACCAGAAGGGTATTAGTATAATCTGATTCTACTGTCCAAGTAGAGTCCAAGGCTGTAGTATTAATGGTAGTAATGTAGTAATATGTAGTAAAATGTAGTCATTGTTTGCGTTTAGCATTGAAGTGCATAACAAATAACTCTATTTGCAATTGGAAGATGCTCACCATGTTGAGAGACCCTTTTCCAGCTCTGTGCTTGATCTACTGTTTTGATGTCCACAAAGGAAGGATGTGTGAACAAATGTGTGGTTCTTTCCTCGGGCAATCTGTTGTCCTTACAGACCTTACGGAGAAGGGAGGAGAAATAACAAGTAATTTTTCTTCCTTGCTCTCAGTGGAAGCGACTTGTGGAATTTGGCAGCTGGAAGAAGGAGGAGATGATAGTTTTCTGTTCCAACTAAGGGTCAAAGAGCAGAGCTTTGTAACCCAAGCGTCACTGTAGTGAAGTAGGAGCCTGCTTCTGGGGGTCGTAGGAACACACAGCAGAAAACACAGGGGACAGAAATCTGTAAGGAAAATCTTTTGTATCTGAAAGTGGAAGAATACTGGGTGAAGAGAAGGGAAGAATTTAGTAGTGACACTTTAGGATACAGGGGAGCATTTAATCATATTTCTGAAAGCCTTACTCTTCTTCTGTGAACATCTCCATTTTATATCTCCTCTTGGCATCAAGTTCAGTTTTCCATGCACTAATGGCACTCAGCAATTCTCAGTCCCTCTTGTTTCTGTATTCTGATATTTTTTTCTTTCACCCCTCTTATTCCCTCATCTTTCTGTGATACCAGCTTATCTTTTTTTTTTTCCACCTGAGGTTGTCAGTTTTATTTTAGTTCCTTAGAATTGTTTACAGGCTGTTTCCACTCAACTTATTAACCTCTGGAGGACACCTACTGTGACTTTTGAGTTCTACAGGGCATCTAATTGTTCCTAAAGCTTACACTCAGTAGGGGACTCTTCTGAGTCCTGAACAGGAAGGATTTGAACTTGTATGCAAATGTATTTTTTTGCTTGGAGCCTAAGTGCTTGTCTCCATTGCTGTAGCATGTTCTAGGAAAGAGCTGCTTTAGTTAGCTGAATTAGATGCTATACAAATGCATGCCAAAAAGTAAATCCCCTTTCAAAAAGAGTGAATTGTCTCTATTGCATGTTTTATTGATATGTGATACTCCTTGCTTGCTTATTGCCTGCACATCTATCTCTTAATTACTGTATTGTATATGAAAGGTACGGATCACATTCATGGAGACACCCTAAAAAGAGAATACTTAAGTGTGTTTAAAGAGATGATGGAGAGGGGAATTTGAGAGAGAAATGTGAGCAAGCGTTTTTTATATGTTCGTTGAAAAATAACATTGACTCTTACCTTGACAGAGCATAGAGACCCAAAACCTTTCCATTGTTCTGAAATGCAACATAAGGATCTAGAAGTCTGTATGAGACCTTGCTTCAGGGAGTGTAAATGCCTGCAGTCACTTTGCAAGCACCTGCTATACCAGCATTAACCCATTTACAGTTTCTGCAACAGCTGGGGCTGGGTGTACAAGAGCAATTTGCAGCTAAATCTGCTGTTTAGTCTTTGCTATCTATACCATGGTAAACTGATTTTTTTAAAAAATGCTTTTGAGACCATCATAAACTGTTTCAGGGGACCCCAAAATGTCAGAGCTAATCTTTGATTCCATGAAAAAAATAGTAAATGAATGGAAAATATTCTCAACCTAGAAACTGATTACTGAAATCTAGTTACATACTAACAGCTGTACATTTCTCATTGCAATGACTCATAGTTGCACTTTTGAGTACTATAACTCAATATTTCTTTGTTGCTAAAAATACTGCTCTTAGAAATGCTACCTTTGATGCTGTGAAGCCTCACTAGCATTGGTGGACATGAGACTGAAAAATCCAGCAATTTTTACTAAATAATCACTTGGTGAGCCAGCTGTTCCTGAAGCTGTTGTGAACATAAATATTCATGAGGAAAGGGGACAGCAGTTCCCATTTGGAATGCTATTGGCCAGTGTTGTTCTGTTGCCTTAAGTGAAATCTTGATTCTTCAGAGAGATTTAAGGAAAATGTTGCCTTTAGCTAATTTGTGACCATACTCTCCACATCACTCACAGGGGATCCTGTGTTTTGCAGCATGAGAAGGCAAAGGCAGACAGTCTCATATATCCTTTGAGCCTGAGCTAGGCTGGTCTGTCAGAGATGGTTTATGGTTTCCCCATAAGTTTCTCCAGCAACTTTGTGGAGCAGTACTTTGAAAGGGCAGCTGAGAACGTAAAATAAAAAGTGGTGTATGTAGTGGGCTTGCAGGGATTAAAAATGTTTTAAATGCTTTTAAAATGCACTCTTTATATTTGAGATAGTAGAGAAACTCGGAGCAACTCTTGAGCTATTTAGATTCACTTTCTTATTGCCAGTCTGTTTAATCCTTTGTGATCCCCTCTATTTCACTTTGTATAGCAAAGTGTGCTACGTGACAGAACAAATGCCTACAAAAGTACTGCATGCAGCAGTCCTTGCTGCCCAACTTCCTAAAATATCAATATGAAGAATTAGATTTTTAAATGTGAGCGTTGCCTAGCTCCTGCCATCTGTCTTTTCAGTTTGCATAAGAGTATTGATCCTTAAAAGTTAATCTTTATGGGTACCAGCTGTCAAGTGTCTTTATTGTCGTAATCTTCAGTAACAGCAAAGCTGTGTTGATAGCAGTTGTGTTTTCGATGAAGGCAGGTGGCAACGTTTTCCAGCATGCCAATATCACTGGTGTGCTATCATTGCAGTTACTGTATGTCAGCATTGGCATCGAGGGCTTATTCTGTGGGAAAGGAAAGGTTAATTAGGAAAAGAATAAATCATGATGTATGTGAGAAGAAAGCGATTAAACATACTAGGGTAGACAGCCTCAGTGATTACTTAGATGGGGATTTTTTTAATAGAGCTATTAAGGAAAATGTTAAATATGTTATTTCAGGACACAGCAACATTTGCCAGGAATGAGGTATTTGTATCACATTTTTCCTTTGATTGAAGTGTAGAAAAAGTTTAATTCTGCCAGTTATGGTACCACATTCACTGCATCTCATACACTAAAATTTGTTCTGACTCATTCTTCCAGCTATAGCTAAAATAACTAAGGTCCAATATGCTGATTTATGTGAAATTTTTGTGGATTTGCTGCTTGTATATGATAAGTTTTATTTCTAGCTAGGCTTTGTGCAGTCTAACAGCAGCTCGGAGCATGTTTGATTAACTGTGCTTGTTTTTTTGACCTGGAGATGAGTTCTGCACTGCCCTCTCCTCCCCTGGTGCATCAAGAGCTTTATTTAATTTTGCTTTGTGTCAGTAAAAAGCCAATATGTGAAGACAGTGGAAGCATCCCAGACATCATCCTTCGCAAGGACAACCCATTCATGACACATTATCAAGGAAAGGATTCTGGTTCAGAAGATGAAGCAGCCAGCAGAGTTCCTGATTTAGAAAAGGATGACTTTGCCACCAGGAGAGCCAGAATGAATCAACCCAAACACATAGTTCCATTTAACTCTTTTTTAGTTGGACCCTATACAAGTAAAGAGAAAGGTAAACTGGAAGATATTAAAAAGCCATTGCAGATGGAAAAAAAGGAACATGCAAGGTGTGCATTCATGGTCTTATTCCTTCTATTATAATGCTTAATTTCATCATGATATATTGCTGTATAGGCCTAAAGCTGTCTTGGCTACAAAAAACTTTACAGGTTAGAGTAAATGCAAATGCTTTATCATAAAGTGAACCAAACTAATTTTTTGTTAGAGGAGAAGTTTTAATTGGCTGTGAGTAAATAATATAAAGGCAGGACACTTTTATTATCTAAGCTCATGAGACAGGTCATGAGCCTGAATAGTGGAAAATAAACTTAAAAAATATGCTTTGCATCTCAGCTCTTTTTCTGATCACTTTCAGTGCACATTTTTCGAAGCATTTCTTTCATCTCATGCTCTTTTAATACCCTTCATAAAACAAGGACCAGATGAGTCTTTAGTTAAGGCAGTGAATATATATGCCTGCTACACTGCTCTGAATTATGTTGCACCTGGTCCTAATGTGTATTATGTGGCATTGGTTTGGGAAATGGATCAGGGGTTACAAGGCTTCAGCCTAGAAGGCTTCAGCCTTCAGTTCAGTGATATAGACCTTTAAGAAGTTGCTGAACACAAATATTTGCTAGGTAGAGATCTGTTTCAGGAAACAAGTATATTTGTTTTATTTGTGCAAACAGATGTGATTCTAGATAAAACCACTATATACATATTGTAGGGAACCTTGACTAACAACTGATATGTTCAGAAAACTTCTAATATTTAGGAGCTCTTTTCAGTTTTCAAATGTCAAATGTGCTGTTCAGTTCCTGGTAATTTGATTATATTAACATTTTCTAATGACTAGTTTGGCAGGACATCTGAGGAGCACTTAACCAAATTTTAATAGTCCAAGGAGTCCATGCTATTGACATGACTCTTAAGATCAAAGAAATTCTGTAGTATGTTTGAGAGCAAAACCTGAATTCAGTTTGTGAAAAATAGGCAAATGAGATATTTGTAACTATTTAAGAGAAAGTTTATTTCTTGCAGAAATGCTTAATACAGTAATCACATAAAGACTTTTCTTACTTGAGCTGGGAATAGATGTTCATGTGAAGAAGTGGTCTCAGTAGTGCATAAGTGGGGTAGCATAGCTGAAAGGTTTGAATTTCAAATTATTCATTCCATGTTTACTTCCTAAAATTAATGTGAAACTAATATTATAAATTCAGTTTTATCTTTTTGAGATCTGAACCTCATCTTTTGACACTGTTTATAATTGCTTGCTTCCTCAAAATATCTTTCCTTGCTGAACTGGAATGTGCATTAAATTAGAAGAAGACGAGTACACATGACATCAGTAAGGCAAATAGTTACAAGCAAAGAGAACCCACTTCTGCAAAATGAGAAGACTGAGTCAGAGGAGGAACAGCAGGTGAAAGAGGTTGATAATGAGAGAGATGATTTGGTGAAACAGAAATCTCCAAGCGTCCTTCCTCAGCTACAAGAAGATGTGCTTTTTGTCAATGCCTCTATAACAAAAGCAGATCTGGAGACCTGGAAAAGATTGAAACTGTCAGGGGAGGCCAGGTATGGTTTCTGCTTGTGGACAGGATTGGCATCCTGGGAAGCATGTTGAGTTTGCCACAGTCTGCTGTGTGTGCTTGTGATTTTATACTTGAAGAATGCCTTCAGTCCTTACCTATTTCAGTTTTCAGGAGGAGTCCAAAAATCTGACAGATGTGCTGTCTGTCATGAAATGAAAATGTGTCCGTCATTTAGAGCACTATGGTAGTTTCACAGTCCCTTTTCTTGTAGATACTCCTAATACAGTATCAGAAAGTTCCTTCTTGTCATGTGGCTGAATTTGCTTTGAAGCTGCTCGAAGTTGAACACAAGGTTCCAAATGGTGCACACTAGCAACTACACTGCTCCTTCCCAAGCTGTCTTCAGGACTTAGGGTGTTTTATACCTTGGGAGTATTACCTGAGGATCAGCATCTTTGCATTAATGTTTCTGTGCTATTTTGAGACCTGAGCTGGTACGTCAGCATAGCATTGTAAATACACCAGCACTGTTTCTCACTGCAGCATGGCTTTCATGGGCCTCATTATATGGTGTTTGTATGCTCTTGTTATTAACAAAAGCTCTACAAAGGGAGCTGGTATAAAGCAGTTATTCTAAGCTGTTTCCCTATGGAGATGGACTATAACTTAGGCAGGTGATTTGTGACTCCAATAGGAAAGGATAACAACTCCTAGCCTTCCTGTTTAGGTGCATGCCATGTTGCAATTAAAGACGGCTGTCTGTTCTGGCATTGTTCTAACAATATGGTTATTGTATGTCATTTTAGCTCTAATAAATCAAAACTCAATCAATCTTCCACCCGAAAGATACTAGCAGTCTCTCTGTTACTTTTGAGGTGATTTATTAAAATCAGGGTTCAGTCTGCTTAGTTTAGGGCAAGTGAATTGCCCTTGCTAGTGCTCCCATGCCACTGTAACTCCCTAATGCCAAAGTGAGTTCTAGTGCCATACAGTCACATATAGTGTGTGGCGTGGGTATACATGAGCAGACAAGGAAACTGTGGCTTTGTTAGGGTGAAGGACTGAATTTGGAACAGGCCATATGTTACATTCCTTGCCCTTAGGAAGTACTTCCATGGATGTACTCTCTGAGTTTTCCCCACAGGTCTGTAGTATCTTTGCATTTTATATATCATTTGGGACTCAGTATGCCATAGCTGTTTATACCTGTGTCCTCGAATTTTAAGATAAAAGTCCTTCAAAACCTTAGGAGCATTTAATTCATTTATTCAGGCTTCTCATGTTGGGGGCATTCTTTTATTCCTCATTATGACCAGTGAAGAAGATTTCAGATGTTCCAGCAACACTCTGCCACCAACTGATACCACAGTGAAAGCCCATGATGATTTTGCTGTCCGCAAAACCAGAGCAAACAAAAAGGCTGGTGGCCCCAAGCAGAAGTTTGTGCATTTTGGGCCAGTAACTGAGATTGATCAACAGAAATGGGACAAGCTCGTTATTGGCAGAGCTTCATCTAAGAGTGGAACAGAAGAGGAAAGCAAGAAAGACGGTGTGGAGAGTCTCGCTGGTTTTGAAAGCTCTCCTTCAACCACTGCTGCCAGTCTTGGGTTTGCTGAACACAGCAGTGAAGTATCTGAGCCAGAAAATGAGTCCAGGTATTTGGTGTGGTTTAGGAAGTGCTACTGAGCTGTAAGTGAGACCTGATCTTGTCAGATGCTGATCTGCATGGGAGTGAACTGCAGCATAAACCCAAGAGCTGCTTATGCGCGCAACCGTGTTCAGAAGACATCTGATGTCTTCACAATATCTTAACGTGTTTAGGATTGCTCAAAACGCTGTGCACAGATCTTCCGAATGCTTGCTCAAAATTTCTGATGGACGGTGAAGTCACTGGTGTCTCAGAGGGCTGAGCTATCATTCATGATTTTTCTGCTTCTTGAATTCCAGCAGCTTTGCTCTGCCTGCTTTCAGCACATTAGGAATTTGTCATTCAGCTTGCTGGCCTTACTGATGTTCAAAAAATGTTTTTTCAAACCTAATGGATTTACTTTCTTTTTGAAGATGGTATACTGCTGCTCTGTGTTTCTGGCATTTATCTGGAGAGGAATTATCTGGGTCATTAACACATTAACAGATCTTATATTTCTTTGGCATTTTTTAAATCAGTCTGTGACTGCAGCAAGAATTTTTAATGAATGCTTTTAGCAAGTAATTCATTCAGCTAAGTTTGTGTGTTTATAAAAAATTTGCAAAAGGAGTTAGATGACTCCTTTTCTTACCTCTCATTTGACCTGAGAAGTTTTGTCTGTCTCACTCCTCATTTCATTCTCATCACTAGTGAGGGAGGAGTCAAGTTAGATACAGATGACTCTTGCAGGAGAATTCCATCACCTGTACCAGCTTCTGATGTCACCTCTGAGAACCAAACCCCACGGAGTGTGAGCAAACAGCAAGAAAGCACCAGGGAAGAATGTGACAGGAATTTACCAGATATTGAGAGAGATGATATGTTGGTTAGAAGGATGGGAACATTTTCAAGGCGTGCCACAAGCTCCATTCCCATAAATTGTCCTCCCCTGTCAGTAGCTCCTTATCGGCTGCAGCAGCAGCAAGAGGAAGTTGTAGCTCATGAAAAGGATTTGAAGACTCTGCAGGAAGGAGAAAGGTCAGAGAACAGAAGCAGATTCCTCTGAGCCTGGTTTGTGTGTGGTGTTAGCTTGGATCAGTCAACAGTGTTGTCCTATTCTTCACATGGGCTTTAAAGATGTGTTTTACTCATTCATCATGGCATGTGTTCTGTTTTGTAAAATTACTTACAGGAATGTATCCCATGAATATAAAACAGCCTGTTTTCTTTCATAATATTTTAGTACTTCAGTTGTTAATTGTTGTTCAGCATGAAAATAGTCTTTCATCTTTTGGGGGCAATTCTTTTGCAAACCATGGTGCTTATTCTAGATTTTTATGCCAGCTTCCAAGTGAATAAGTCGTCACATAGATTTGTATGCAATTCCCAGCTTCTAACAAATCACCTACATAAGCGTGGAATTCAACATAATTTCCTTTTACTCCCCGTGCTGTGGCTAAAGATGCCTAGTTTGCCTAGTTGTCCATCATTCTCAACTTTGCTTTGAGTAACAGTACCTCACATTGCCTGAGCAGCCACTTGCTGTAGAAGTGAGCATTATCATGGAACAGTGTCACTTGTCTCTCTGAGCAGTACTATCAGACAAGAAGAGAGCCAAGAACAGCTTGAAATCCCACAGCTGCAGAGTGATGGAACAGAAAACAACATGAAATTTCCAGACCCACAAAGAGATGACATGTTAGCCAGAAGAACTGGAGCTTTTCTTAAACAGCCTGGGCCCAGTGTTAAGCAATTCCTTCCCATGCCATTTTCAAAGAAGCAGAATAAGCAGGGCACAGCTACAGAACTTGAGAAGAAAATCATGAGGTAAGAAAGTTGTTTTTCTCCATCCCTTTTAGCTAGCCATGTGGGCTGTTTGTCAAGATCTCTTTATCAGGAAGATTTGCTGGTGGCCCAGTATTAGTTATATTCATGCTTGTCCTCCGTTCTCTGCTAATTCTTTCTGCTCAGTAGAAGGCAGTAGAAGGTTTCTGGCCCTTTTAGGAGAGCCATGTGGAGACTCAGACCATAGCTCTACCAGACGCAAAATTCTAACAACGTATGGAAACAGATCTACGTAGCAATTCTATTTGCATTACGTTTGCAGAGGTTTCTGGTTAAATATGAGGTAATGATTACAAATGTTTCCAGCTAGAAATGGAGTTGCTCGATGTGGTAGATTAGATTGTATAGGGCTTAACTAGTGCCAGTGACTTCCTAACAGGAAATCTAGAGATCCCGAGATTCTGCCTGAAAATGCTCAATATCTTTCTAAGCAACGTTGTTCAGATGTTTGAGGCTGTGTGAGTGTTGAAGCCTTTGAACAGAGTTATCGTTTGGTGGTTGAGCCACATGCAAGCAAGAGGGGAAGGTTCTTACTCATCAGTCTCTTCAGAGTACTTGAGGAGAAGGATATGCATGCACCTCTACAGACATAGATGAAAAGCTAGCTTACATCTTAGCCAGGAGAAAACAAACCTGTCATCTACTACAGAATCCAACAGTAACTTGGTGTTGAAAAGACTTTGTATTTTAATTTTCAATGGTGTTCTGGACAGTTTATTTTCTGATTTTAAAAAGTAGTACAAGCACTTGACTCTTAAAATTATGGATTTTGCTCCTGCCTCACTTAGCTTATGTTAGCTATTTGGGTTTCTAGGGGCTGTTTTTTATTAACTTATAGTTATGCTTTTCATTATGTATGTGTGATTTTTGAAATATTGCTTAATACATCCCTTTGCACTACTGCCTTTGGCTCACTCAGGCCTGAAAAATGTCCACAAATCTACACTAATAGCTCCGAAAAACCAGCAGTAGAACCACCACAAGAGCAGCAGCAAGGGCAGGAGGACAGTCTCCCATGTACAGGACAAGATGAGGTGATTAGTACTGCCCAAGTGGCTGAAGATGGTCACAATGAAGTCCACCTTGGTCAAACACCTAAGCTTCAGGAGGTTCCTGAGGAAAAAAAACTGGAAACACTTTCATCCAAGGATGAGCATCTGAAAACGTGAGCTTTCTGGTGTGAAAATCACACAGCTTGTACACCCGTCTGCACACTTCAGAGTTTAAATTGTGCATTACCTGGTGTGTTTTCAGTCCAGACTAAAACACTGTGTGTCAGTAATACACATTTTAGGAACAAAAAGAATTGTTGTGTAATACCTTTTATTTTGATTTAAAAAAAATATGTAATTGAAGGCTAAATGAAAGAAATGTTTGATTACAGTATATATGTTGAATTGCAAGAAAAGTTTATGAAGAGGAAGTGCTAAAATGGACTCTGCTCATTGAGAGACACTTACCCTATTTCTCCCGTGATTAGAAACGTTGTAGTATTGACTTTTGCATTTTATGCTTTTTTGTGATAAATTCCAGATATAAATATGTGGTTTGCATAGCTCTAAACAAGACCGTAATTTTAGTGAATGCCACTGGTTTGTGTATTACTGGTAACTTTTTTCAGCTGTATCCCTCTGCCTTGAGGACAGAAAACCAAAACCAACTAACAAAGAAACAACCAAAAAGCAAAAAAACCCAACAAACAAAAAAACTTCAAACCAGCTAACCAACCAACCAAAATAATCCAAAAACCCCTACCCAAACCAACAACAACAAAACAAAGAGAAAAACAAAATAAAACAACAACAACAACAACAACAAAAGTAATCCCCAAACACAAAAACAAGACCTACAAAAATAAAAAGGAAATCCTGTGAGTCATTTTCTGACTTTAATATTTGTCTCTTTCATGCTTCAGTAATAGTGGTACTAAGCACTGCTGTGGAATGTAACTGTTAAGTTTTGTCTCCATTCATTGCATGTATGGCACAATGTAAATGCCAAGACATTGTCTGTTTTCAATAACTACACACATTTTAGTTATACTTAAGGAGACTTTTATAATGTGGGGCATAAGTATGTGTTTAAGGAGGGATGGGTGGTGTTCTCATGTAGTTTGACCTCAGGATGATCCAGGTGAGTCTTGTTTGATGAATACATAATCTCTGAATAGTATGGTTCTATTTTGGTCTACTAGCTTCACTAGTAGAAGTGACAGTTGTGCAAATTATTTGGGTCGAATTGCAATTACTACTTCATGTATTTATCCACAATCTAATTTTATATTTGGTCTTGTAGATTCGGCCCCAGAACTGCTGTGTCTGATGACGCAGAGTAAGTTGTCTTGTGTTCACAAGATTCTGTTTTAAACAACTTACACTGCATGCTTTCCCATCTTTCTACTAATTTAAAATGCAGTTGATGCATCATTATTGTTTTGCAGTGTTTTGGCAAATAAATTTTTCAGACAGCACTGAAAAATGGAATGCAGTATGGCTTACATTGCAGTTAAAATAATTTCTGTATAAAAGCCCATAAAAACTAAGTTTAATACTAATGTCCAGCTGTTGCTTAAAGTATTGTTTCCTCTTTTTTTCTTTTATTTTGTCTTGGTTTTCTTCTGAATTTCCATTGCCTCTAATCAGCTACAGGTAAAGAGAGTTGAGTTGAATCTGAGTGTTGAAGAAAAAAATCAAGTATGAGGAGGAACAGGAAGAAATAAAGAAATCCCAAAGGAAAATAATATCATTGTCATCTTCAGAATAATTACCAGGAAGATACATCTTTAGCAGAGCCTTTTGTATTTTAAAAACTTTATATTCAATCCCTTACAGGTTAGGTTTAATTTAATGATGTACTACATTTCAATTTTTAAGCTCTTCACCTTGATGCATCACTTTTCATAGAAGGAGTAGAACTGACATTTATTACACTCAAAAATTTTTATTGTTCATGTGTGCATACAAACTTTAGTACAGAATAATATGCAATACCATTTGGAAAGCTCTTTGTGAGTATTAGCTATTTAGAAGAGAAATAGTTGGGAGCTACCCACATAATAATATCCTTAATGTCCTTCCTTCCTTCACAGAAATGCACATGACCTTCTCTGTCTTCCAGATTAAATCCCAAAATAGAAACAGTATGGAGAGTTATGGGGGTTTTATAATGAATATACACAGAGATTCACATGCAATTTTTCACCTTTCTCTCTAATGATAAAACTCAGAATCATGACTCGAGTGTTCTCTACAAGTTCTGTAATATCTTTATGCTGTTCTCTGACTACAGAGTAAATCATTTTCAAGCAGCAGGAATCTGTCCAGTCAAATGAAGGGGTGAGATAAAAAGAGCAATATAACATAGAAGTGATGTACTTAACAATGGGGATGTTCCAGCTATTTCAGAAAGCCTGCTTATATGGTTGATTTTTTCATCTATGCATGTCTGTATTAAATGCAATCATGACAGAAAGTACACAGAGATGCCTTCAAAGAGGCATTGCAATTGATTTGGTGATATAATGTGAGAGTAGCAACAATCAACAAATCATATTGCTTGTTCCATACTGATTCTGATTTTGTTTTAAAAGGCAAAATAATTAATGTTCAAACTTCATTATCATCCTTTCCAGATGTGCTACAGTTTACAGAGCAATTATTTTCCATACTATCTTTTAAGTCCTTATAAAAGTAAGACCGTGTTTTCCCTTCTGAAGACAAAGCGTTTATGAAGACTCTAGTAAAACTTGACTCTCAAGTAGGAAAAATAAATTGAGCTGACATTTAAAATACTTTTTAAATGTTTGTCATGTCCCCATTGAAAACTGTAACTTGAATTCAGTCTTAGACTAGATGTTCTTTATTCCAGGACTCTTTTATTACACTCTCAAAGTTCCCTTTGCTAATTAGAGGAAAACTAGATATTGTCATCAGCCCTGTTATGTCTCAAGGTCAGAGGAGGCAATACTTAGTGTGTTGCTGTTAATCAGACCCATTCCTATCTCCCAAAGAGAGAGAATTCTGGTGGTACCATGATAGTCCAGTATGAGTTTAGGCTCATAGTGAGCTGAGATTTTTGAGTATCTCTTTACTAGAGTCTGATTTTCAGCCAGTCTGTCCTCTTTTATGTTTTGTTGGAGTTTCTTAAGTCAAATTGTAATGCAGCAACATGATAAATGCCTTACATAAGGATTGTTAACATAGTCTCATAAAAAGATTTTTTTCCCTTATCTCTCATTTTTAAATTAATTAATCTAAACACTGACGTCCTTCCAATTTCTTTTAATCTAAAAATTTTTTAGACCTGTTTTAAAAAAAGAAATTGCTGCATGATATCACCAACAAGAACAACTGTAATTTGTGACAATAAAGCAGTGCAGCTTGAAAATCCCAACATCCCAAGTACACTGTTATCTGCACAGTGCTTTTTCCCAAATCATTGCTAGAACTGCAGATCTGGTACACTGGTCAGCAGAAAGGCCTCTTGCTTCAGGACAGAGGTTGTATACAACCTCCAGAGCTGTGCTCATGGCAGAAAGTTAATGAATTGAAAATAGTCCAAGTGCAGTTGCAGTTACATATTCTCTGTCCACTTGTGTGCTACGTGCCTGCTGGCCCAGCATATTGAAGGAAGGTTGAAGGAAGGAGAAAATCTACTGCTGTTCATGGAGGTGTTAGTGATTGTCTAGAGCCATTTGTAGATTATACAAGACAGAAATAGGATGAAATTATGTGGGACTCATAGTGAAAAGTGTCTTTTGATAGAAGCTCAGAGTTTTGGCCTCTGATTCTTTTTTAAGGATGAGCTTATCAGGCAGAGAAGTTGATGTAGACCTTCCAATTGGCCTTGCCCATGTAGTCAGGAAAGGAGGTTTTTCTCCTTAATGATTACTACATGTTGGTCAGAGTGGAGCACAGTGCTTTGAGATGGGACTCCAGATTGCTGACTTGGGAAGATACTGCTGTGGAATAACATGTTGCTGCAGAGTTGAAGTTTGAACCTACCCAGTTGCTTATCCATGACAATGAAGGCCCAGCAGCAGAAAGTTACTGCTGGAGTAAGTAGTGCATCTGAGGTTGTAGTGTGTAATTTTACTCCTAGTCAAGGCTAAAGCCTTTTCCAGAGAACCTTTTTAACAGCACTGTTAATAGTTATAAAATCTGTAGTTGTCTTTGTGCACCCTGTGAGACCTGCATGAATTCAGGGAACATACATTAGACTTACATTAGGAAATCCAGGTACTCCTGCTAGAAAGGCAAGATTCTTCCATCCCAAATGGCAGAGAGTGTGTACTCATGTACTCTACTAGAACCAGTATGACCATTTCAGGCCTTACCTTTTCTCCTATTGCATGTGAATGAAAAATTCTTTGACATGAGAAAAGAGTACAAGAGAGGAGCTACACAACCAGTTTGACCCAGTAGACACAAGGTATCAAATACTGAACACTGAAGGCTTTCTTAGTGCTAGTTTCAAAAGCTCTTAAACTGGAATAAACCCTATAAGAATGACTCTATTGCAAGTTATAAATCTCCCAACCTACCTCACCAGTCTGCCGAATATGACTGATATTTAAGTTTTACAAAACTGAAACATTTGCCATCTCTTTAGGTTCTGTTATTTAGGAGTGTTCCAATCCAACCCTGAACAAAGCAACTGTTAAACTACCTACAGAAAACCCCAAATTAGTGTAACCCACAGCACTCTGTTTAATGGGCAAAACACAGTAATATGTTAACTTCACTGTTCATGCTTAAAGGCAATAAGATGTTTATTCTGTCCTTCATTTATGAATAAATACCTACTTAGCAGGATGGAATTTGTGCATGTCCTTTTCCATACGCTGTCCAGACCTTTCAAGTTTTTCCTTGAGAGTGGCATTCCTGTCTTTGCTTGCCTGAATACAAACGCTGGCTCATAAATTATATGCACAGCTTTCTGTGACTATTTGCTTTGATTACTGTAGACACAGTTGCTCACAGTTTTATCTTCATTGGGTGCTTCTCCTGATAGTTGGCTCATTGGCTCACGTGAAGCTGCAGGTCCTCATTTGAGGACTCCTGTGAAATCACTTCATGTGGAACTGCATGGCTTTCTTTTAAGTTTTTTTTGCTTTGAATGGCACAACTGAGGTCATGTTTTACTTATAATAGGTGGTAAAGGTGGAGTAGTAAGCATGTTATCTTCATGTGAAGATCTTTATATAATAGAAGGAGATATATAACATCAAACCATAATCTTTTTTTTCCTTTAAGTCTCCAAAGGTCAGAGACATAAATAGAAAAAAAACTTTTTTTTTTTTGTCCTGGACGTCATCTTTCCCTTGTTAGGTTAGCTGTTTTAATAAATTGGTGCTGGTAGCATTGGATTTCTTCAAGGCAGGGAGGGGAGGAAAGGGGAGGGGAGAAAATACCATGCAGTTTGAACTGAGTGTACTTCTCTGGGTTTGTAGCAATAGCGTTTAACTGGCCACACTGCCTCTGATGTACTTCTCAAGCCTTCTTTTTACCCCGAAATGGAAACTTCTGTCTGTGGTGTTAATTTAAGTGATCTTGAAAATCCATTAGGCACAAATCTTCAGAAAGTAAAATGTTCTGAATGATAGAATGATTTTAATAAGAGCTGTCAAGGGAAGTGTAAAGTTAATAGTGCTTCTTAGTGAGAGAAAAAGTTGTGGTCATTTAACAAAATGGGAAGTTGAGGAGCGTAATGCCTGAAGTACTTTGTGGGAGCCATAGGGATGCTGACAAGCCCATCTTAGGGACTGCTGCTTTTTGGAGCTTTGTAACGGAGCAGGTGTCTGATTCTGCTGTAGCACCCTCATGTGGTTTCAGCTTTTACAAGCTGAAGGAATATAAGCTTCTAAATAAGACTGGACCTGTTGTTATTTACCCCTGGCTCAGCAGCATAACAAAGCTCGACATGAGAAGCTGCAGAATGTACACAACCAGCTGAAAGAGGACGAGACCAGATGGCAAGATGTGAGTATACAACATTGTGTGAAATACTGGCAGGCACTGAGGCCAGTCAGCTAGGTAAAAACAGGACAACCTGCTAAATCTGAATTTACTGTCAAGTGCTTAAAATAATCAGGAGAGCTTTTTTTTTCCTTGGTGGATTGTTGCTAAAAGGAAGGAAGTTCATAATTTGATGTAAATCAAAGAATACAAAATCTTCGAGTCCCTCTGCCTGTTCACCAGGTATTTTGCTTTTTTAAAAAATATAAAGAAATTGTGATTAGGTTAAAAAATGGAAGAACAACTTCTAACTGCTGACTTCTCTAACTTTTCTAATTAGTCAATGTCCAAAGTGACAAAGCACAAGTCTAAGTAGGGCAGGGAATAAATAGGTCGGCCTTTTCTTTAATAAATTTGCATAGAAACAGAAAATGGTAATGTTTTCCATCTTGTCCAAGCAAACAAATGGCACTTCATGTTACACCTTGCTTGGTTTACAAGGCTTTTCCAAACCCTCTTTCCTTGATGTGTTTTGTTAAGCTGTCCAGGCATTTGGCATTGTCTGCAGCAAATTAGCAAGGACAGAAAAACATGATCTGCAGATAAGTTAGTATAAGGAGCTTTACTTTCAATTCTGTATATTCCTAAAGATTGGTTTTAAATGAGGAATTTGGGATATTTTTAAATTAAAAAAAACAGAAGGTAATAAAACACATCTCTTCAAGTATGGTAGTTTCTCATTACAAGGAAAGCTTGTGTGAAACACCTCAGAGAGGTTTTTGGCAGAAAATTTAAGGAAAAGTGAAAAATAAGTTGTATATACAGCTAAGAAGTGTCTTTTTATAGTAGAACAATGAAGGACTTCACCTGAAAGGTCTTTATGTGTGGAAAATCATAATTTCCCGGCAGAGATAAGAATAAATCCAAAGTAATTCAAGAAGTTTGAAGACTCTGCTGTTGAATTGAAAATCCTCTGAGCTAAAGTTTCTACATTTTCCAGGCCCTCAGCATCTTCTTCTACCATGAACTAAAAGTTCTGAAGATGTACTGAAAATGTGTTTATTAGAATGTCCTTGGCATTCTGAGGGCTTTATAGAGACATGTGTCATGGTCTGATATTTTAGATGCCCATGCTATAAATTTGCCAACAATTAATGTTTACATGGCTTTTAAAAAATTATTGTTATTCTAAAGGATTGGAACTGGAAAAGACAAACGTCTGTATTTTAATTAGGAAAAGAGAAGGATGGCTTATGTTAGAAAATTTGCTAATGGAAAACTAATTTCCAAACAGTAGACAATAGTGGAAGTAGCTGGATAAAGAAATGCTTTGGTACTTCAATGAGAAAAATTAGTAACTGAGGAAAATGATTAGGCTGATGTTTCATGAAGGAGGATTATAGACTGATATATGTAGGTCATGTGAAGAAGTACTTTAATGAGCATTCCCTTAAGTGTAACATCAATAATTTGTGGTTTCGAGCTAAATTAAATGTAACAATGTTTTTTCCCAATTTTAATAAAAAAGTTATGCTTACAGTACCTTCTGTTGTTTACCAATAAAAATCCAATTTAAATACTTGGGAAACCGTGTAATTAATGAAGTAGCCATTGAATTGAGTATGTGTTATGATATATCTGGGTTTTATTAAAACCAAAATTTGTTAGAGTGAAATATAAATTTTTTTATCATGAAATATAATCTGTATACTCATCCGATGTTGAAAAGTTAATGAAAAGTGTTCCCTTCCAGTTTTCTGGGAAGTTTTTTTCCTTTGCAGAAGTTCTGCAGTGGTTACTTTTTACATATAAAATTTTGTTCCTTTGATAGTGGGCTGCAAAGAAATTTTATAGTCTAGAAAACTTCTTTACTGTAATACTTGTACTGTGAAAAAGATTTTGCTTCTGTATCCTCCAGGATTTGTGAATTCATAAAGGATGTAAGACATCATGACAGGTTCCTCCTGTGACTGGTTTAGTGTCAGGCTAGTTTTTCAGAAAAGATGAAGAACCAGATTCAGTCAATCTTCTGCACAATTTCAGGCAGGCAGATTCCAAAAGGACTATGATTGTTGCTTCAACAAGGCCATCTCTATATAGCTGGATACAAACCATAGGCTTTTTACTCTGTCATGTCTCACAACAGTCAGGTGTGAGCCATGTCACTCCCTAACCTCTCTTGCTCACATCTGGATCCAAGATACTGCAGGATGTCCACTATGAAGAATTTAAATTTGGATGCCTACTGGATTTTTGTATAAAAAAACTGCAACATCATGGGTCAACCATATTTGCATGTAGCTGACTGATAGCATGGGCAAAATATGGAACTATCGGCTTTCCAAGGCAGACTATCAGTGTAGCTGTAGCTCGTGGTGAAACAACATCCATTCTTCCAATGACCCCCTGCTTCCCATATATTTGATTATTAAAATACTTCACCAAACATAATTTTTTTACTTAATCTTTCTGGGGAACTGGATTTTGTTCCTACTGTTGGCCCAAGTGAAAATGAGTGTCTTGACTGGTCCTTTTAGGCCAAATTTCATGCCAAAAGCAAAGTAAGCAGTGAAGCTATGAGTCCTTACTGTATCCTGCTGTTAGCAGAAAATTCAGGCAACATCTTCATTTATGGCATGATCTCCTTTTGTCATTGAAATAAACAATGCTGCCTGCAGGTGATGGGAGCCTAGCCCACAGGCAAGAACAAGTATTGCAACCAGCTGGTTGAGTTTATTGTTACCTGGGGCCACTTTTTAGTTATTTGCAACTCCATTCAGGTGCCTTCCTTCTCTCACAGGACCTGGCTCGGTGGAAGAGCCGTCGAAGGAGTGCTTCACAGGATTTGATTAAAAAGGAGGCTGAGAGAAAGAAAATGGAGAGGTTATTGGCTGGAGACGGAATGAGTGAGCGCAGAAAAAGCATCAAAACCTACCGAGAAATCGTGGAGGAGAAGTACGTTGTTTTCCTGCAGTGTAGTGGCATGTCTGAAAATTCTGTGTGCTCCATAGGTGATAGGTAACTGTGGGCAGCCATGCCTGCAAGCCTGAGTGAGGGAGAGGGGAGGTTGTTGATGGAGCAGAGGAAATGGAGGTGATTTCCAGTGTTAATGTGATGTTTTCTCTTGTGTTGTCTTCCTTGCAGAGAGAGAAGGGAGCGGGAGCTTCACGAGGCATACAAGAATGCAAAGACGCAGGAGGAGGCTGAGAGCATCCTCCAGCAGTACACTGAACGATTCACTATCAGTGAAGCTGTCCTTGAGCGTCTGCAGATGCCAAAAATTCTGGAAAGAAGCCATTCAGTGGAACCAAATTCCCCACTGAAAGACCCAAATCCTCTGAGATATTTAAGGCAACAGTCACTTCCTGCTCCAAAATTCACTGCCACAATTGAAGCAACCATTGTTCCCACCACTGAACTAGAGCCCAGCAGTTCAACAGGACGCACATCTCCCAGCAAAAGTGTCTCCAAGGCTGTGCCTATGCTGACACCCAAGCCTTACTCACAACCCAAAAATACACAGGAAGTTTTAAAGAACTTTAAGGTAGGATGCATCACATGCCCGAAAGGCAACCAGGAGGCAAAGAGATCTTGATTAGGTCATGTGAACATATAAATATTTAATGTAATTATGTAGAAAATGGTGGCAGCATTCTGATATAAAATTCAGCTTCATGCTCTATGCTGCCTAGTTTAGTGGTTTCTTCATGTTCACCAGCTTTCCTAGAATCTTGACCTCTTCAGACTGAGATATTTGCACTGATCATTTTTCCTCAGGCTAAATTTGTTTGAGGAAAGGGGGAATTTAAGAAAAAAGCAAGGCTTTTCCCCAGGAAGTTTGTAGGAAAGACTATGTGGTCATGTTTTTTGGTTTTGAACAAATGGAAGGTGCAGGGAGTGTGTGGAGGCCCTGGCTTTTGAAGCAAGACCTGAACTGACTTTTGTGTCAGCGGTCTGATTTTTGCTGTACTCAAACAAGTGTGTCCCTACTCCTTCAGAGCCAAGAGCCAGCTTTGCCCAAAGATATGCTCTGTCTTAAAAATGCTTCTCAACAAGGATGAATGGGGAAAGCTGCTTCATAGGCATAAAGAGAAGATTTAGGTTGTACATTGTACATTGAAACAGGTTGGTACTAGGGTAGCAGAGTAACTGGAGATTGATGGTGAGAGATAGAGAGAGGCTCCATTGAACAAGAACTGTGCAAAGATCATGAGAGTAAAAGAAGTTAGAGAACTTGGATGAAAGCAGGACTGCTGGGAATAAGTCAGCTATGAGATTTGTGGGAGAAGAGGATAGGAGAAGAATCAGAAAAAACATTCTGAAACCAGAATATTAAATCTGAGGAGTGTATCTTTTGACTGGGTGGTTGTGGAGAATGGGATTAAGATACTGAAACGATGGAAAAAGCAAAGAACTGGGTTGCTTTAAAAAGAATAGACCAGAATAAGTCAAGTTCAAAAACATCTGCTGTTCACAGTGCCTGTACCAAAACTGGAGCTTACCCAAGTCTCATAGTAGTCATGTTGTGAGCAGTGTGAAGCCTAATGGCACGGGTGCCCCCAGCCTCTAGGATTTGGGTTCCCTTCTGTCTGCAGTTGCTCATACTTTGCAAGTGATATTCACTTGCAGGGCCCTGCTGATATCCCAGTAGCACTGCTACCATGTATATCCAGGTTGTTTACGTTCTAAAAAATAAGTCAGCTTTTTATATTAATTGAAAAAATATGCTGTGATGTATAATTTATTGAAGTCTGTCCCAGCTCTTATGGAAACCACACCCGACCATGTTTCCTAGTAGAAACATTAAACTGATAATTCCTGTTTCTCCTATACCTCAGTTCATATTCCCCGAGTTTACTTTTTAGATATCAGTGGATTGTGGATCTTTGATTTTTTTCTGATCCTTGACACTTTTTTCATCTTAGGACCAAGGTATGTGTGTGCTTCACCATAATGTTACTGCATAACTAATTCACATATGTGGAAAGAAACTAACCCATGAAGGCTTCTACGCCCCACAAGCCACCACAGAAAAATCTGTCTGAATCTTGTTCACATGATGTGAAAAAATGGGATTTGTCTCAGTAGGAATTATTCCCTAGCACGTGTAGCTGTAGCATTATTTTCCCTTGAAACACCAGACTGTCGATGATTCTTGACTCTGGTGACAATGTGTTGACTTCCTCCTGATCAGAAGGAAAGGAGTATGTTTAACTTTGCAGCCAGGGCATCTGTCCTGCTCATTCAAAAATTTGGTTTTCCTTCTTAATATAAATAGAGAAATGTCTTAGTCTAAACAGAAACCCTGAAATGGATGGTGTGGCCTGCCAGTTTTTTTCCTGGCCTTTTTATTTTTGAGATATTTTGTAACCTGCCTCTCTAGTAGATAATCCAGCACACAGTCCCTTCTCCACAGAAGAACTGGGGCTCAGTTCCCGTTCACACTTGTGTTTGGAAATAAGCCCTAAGAGAGGTACTGTGTTAAGTGGATGTTGTCAGTATAGAAAGGGAGGGAGCACTTTCATCTGAAAAACACTCAGAAAGGGTGAAACAGGTGGTGGAGCTGACTGTGCAAGGGCTAACTGCCTCCACCTTCCTGCACATCTGGAAGAGCTAAGGATGCCCAGCACCTCAGAGATGTCCTCAGGTAATCGTGCTCATAAAGAGCAAGCCTCTGGATGCGTGTGTACAAGAAGTCAATGGAAGGAGTTTGCCCTCAGCTTGGTGCTGATGATATATACTAAGCTGGGGTGCCACTCTTGAGGTATCCCAGCCGTTCACTCAATAAGTAAGGAGGGATCTCTGTGCACAGAGTAGCAAAGTCCTCCTTACTCCTCACACCTGCTGACAAGCCTGTAAAAAAACATCTGTGCTGTGGCCAGGCAGGAGCAATGTGGTGGTACTGAGACCTGGTCCTCGCCTGGTCTCTCTCCACCTGGTCCCTCTGGCTAGTGAGTTCTCTGTAGCAAGACTTCTCCTGTATGCTTCTACAAGTCGCCCTTCAAATTGAAGGGAGTCTTTACATGCCACCTCCATTCTGAAATTGCAGTGTAAACGTGCCAAGAAGTTGTGTCAGGGGAGAGGAAGAAGCCAAAGAATATTTTGTATTTTCTTCTTTGCTTAAAAGTTCCTTAACAGGATATATGGCCGCCAAGGAGCTAGCTTGACCCTGAGAAAAAAAGGTAGTTAAATTGTTTCCACACTCTCCTTTTCAAGGAGATTGCCCAAAGTAATTTTTTGGGAAAGCATCCAATCTATTTATTTGCCTTATGGAGAGAGTGGAATGGCCAGTTTTATTTCCTGGTGCCTTGATTCCCTATTATGAACAATAAAGAAACAAGTGGATGAATTCTGCTGCTCCTGTCGGTTCAAAGTTCACATGACAGTGCTTCAAAAAAGCACAGGCTGCTAATACTGTGATGAGGTCATTGAGGCACATAAGCAGTTTGTCTGCATAATTAGTCCTGGAGAACCTGCTTGGCTCTTGCATAAGGCCATGCAAAACCCAGCAGTTTTGGTCTAAATTTAACGTAAAAATTGATTTTTTTAAAACATCCTTTGGTCTGTGACGCACACAAAGGGTGTCTGTATGTTACTGGGAGAACGGAATGTGGGAAACCAGGAAATCCAGAAAAATTATTTCCTTGTGTCTGTGTTTTGTTTATGAGCCCCCTAGGGTCATAGGTTCTTCTTCTGTTTTGGCCTGTTGAGTGAAATATGTGCTTGGCTTCATCCCCCACTGATAACACAGACTGTGTTAATGATTGTAGTATCACGTTGAACTCCTAATTTCCTAAATTCCTTTGAATGCTACTTGTCTCAGCATATTTATTTAACTGTATTCTGCAGGTAGATGGAAAAGTCAGCATGAATGGAGAAAATATCAACGACATGGAAGAAAAGGATAAAGAATGTACAACAGTAATATTTACTCCTTCACCAACCAGATCTCTGAAATTTGATGGAGTAGCCAGAGGGGACAAGCCCCCAGTAGAGTTGAAGAAGGACCCCCCAAGTGTTGAGCTCAGTTTACAGAGGCCTGCCACTCAGAGTGTGCACAAAGAGCCAACAGTAAGACCAACACGAACAAAACAGCCTTACTTTCTTTGCCAATTTTCTGTCTCATGATGTGTTCAGTCACTAACTAATGATACCCAAGTGCCTATGTTTGCCTTATTTCAAAAGGGTGTGCCCAGACCTGGAAAAAAACTATAAACAAAACCCCAAATTCTTTGTAAATTAGAGGCTTCTTCCTTTTGTATGTGGGTAGAGGAATAGGAGGGTAAGATTAAAAAACCTTTTTGCAGCCACTGGGGGTTTTGGGGGGGATTTCTTTTTTTTGTCTTTTTCTTTTTTTGTTGTTGTTTTGGGGTTTTTTTTCCAGATGTCATGCAGCTGATAAGTATGCTTTAAATGTGCTGGGCCAGGGAGAAACTGATTCAGTGTCCCAGCCGTTGTGCAGGTTTATTCAGCACTTCTCCTAATGTAAGCTGATTAGATCAGCAACATAATTGGACTGTGTGAGCCATTATAATTAGTCTCAGTTTTCAGTTTTCAAAAGAGGATGTGGGTGTGCTGGCAGTTTTGAACATTTGGTTTTCATTCCCCTCTCAGAAACATTAGAAGAGGGGATAAGCTATTGAAATGCTCAGAGGGGCCAACATGCTTCTTAACTGCCTTATCAGAGAAACAAATTAATTTTACCTTTTCATCTTTCTTTCCCCCTCTTCCCCAGAGAAAAAGGCAAGAGTAAAATTAGAGCACATCACAGCAGGCATATAGATGCTACAAAAGTGTAATAAAACTAGATAGTAAAAACGAGACAAGAAATGAGAGGTTTGCAAAGAGAGCATGTAAAAGGGCTGCAAGCAAGTGACAGGAGAGGGAATTCTCACCATTTTTTTCTGTCTAACAACAAAGAGAATTGGAGATGTGGTGAGAGTTGGAGTATGATAATTTTTTCTTTCATCTCAGATTTCATCCAAGCATTGGCCAGATGGATAAAAGGGAGAAAGATCTATCCTGGGGCATGATGGCTCATTCATGAGAAAGGGTTTGTGTTTTACTTCCCTGCTTAATGCCAGTCTCTAGCTATGGACAACCAAACCATGGAGCCTGCAGCAAACATGGGAACTGGGATGTGCCATGAGCACAGTCTTGATCCTGTCAGAGGGATCTGGTATTGAGTCAAAAGTAAATGACTTGCAGGGAAGGCAGAGCTGAGGCTATTCCTGTCACAACAATTTAGCTGTGAGGGAAAAGCCAGGTAAGCATTGCATCTCTTGCAGAAGAGCAGGTAATGGGAGTGTTTGGATAATAGAGAAGAACTTCAGCTTGCTGGAGATTAGAAGCTCAATGACAATCAGAAAAGTAGTCAGGTGAAAGTGTTAATGTCTCCTTTTTTAGGATTTTCAGGCCTAGTTAGAGTTATGAAGAAATTCAGCAGCAGAAGTCACTGTCAGTTCTTGAGTGTGCTTGTATCTGATGTCCTCTCATCCTCCCCTTTCTACAGCTTTGAGGATGATATGACCAGCTGAATGCAAATTTTTCTGTGTGTCTGGTTTCTCCTTCCGATTCTTAGCTCTTGTGGTGATGCTGCAAAGGAGGCAGAAGAGTTTGACTCCTCAGATTCCTTGTGACTCTTGACATTTACAGAATAGCTCGCGGTTTGTAAGCTTGAACGCACTTATTGATGAAGCCTACAAGAGAGAATGAGTGTGCACCAAAACGATGCTAGTGACAGAGTGTCTGTGCTCTAACTACAACTTTTATATCACTAGCCTCACAATTCCATCAGCAATGTGACTTGGTAGTGCAAATCATCATAATTACTCCTGGCACTTCAGCTTCAAGCAAAGGTATTAAGCATGTCAAGGGCAGAGCAAGGAGACCAGACTGGTTTGAAGGGGATCTTCCATGGAAAAACAAGTGGAATGTACTGAATGTGGTGAGAGAGAAGAGAAGGAGATCTGCCTGTGGCTGGAAAGGAATTTGGCAGTCTAAAATAAGACTTCAGGTTCTGTTTCTTCGGGATGTTTACTTCTCTTTACCTAGATGCTTCTTTGTAATTTTCCAGGTCTCAATGCCTCATACAAAGGCACGGGCAGTAACTTAGCTGTTGAGCATACAGGAGAGCCTTGGTTTGTTGATGGAAAGGGCTTAGATGCCAGGTTACAGAGATGGGCATGGTACTGATGCTTGGCTTCTTCATGAAGGGACACAGACAAGCACTGCTATAGACAACTTGATATGGATGTAATCGGTCTGGAGCCTTATCTGCAAGAACAGGACAGCTACACTGGACTCACTTCACTTAGCCTTCTCCCTGTACTTATTTTACTTCAGACTTTGGGCAACTAATACAATGATGTCAGCCTCATTTGCAGACCCTGAAAGGCTAAACTGCTCTCTGAAGGATATAACCTCCTAGGAAGGTTGGGAATCCATATTAGAAAAGATAAAATCATCCTGGGCATGTCCCACTCCCCATAAAATGAGACCTCTTTCTCAGTAGGATACTGCATCTAGCAGTCACTGTCAGAATTCCAGAAGGGAAAAAAAGGTTTGATGTTTGCTCCAGGGATGGGACTCCCAATCTACACATTCTTGTAAGTAAGGAAGCCTTCTGAAAGGCTTCCACTATCACCTCCCACAATAAGAAAACAGAGATATAGGTTTTCTCTGATGCTTAACCCTCCTGACATTCTAGAAGAGGAGAAAATGACAGAAACGGGCATAGAAAAGCAGCTGAGATGAAGAGCTGTCTAGAGTGGAAGAAATCATTAAAGCTCTTTTGCCTTCAGAAAACTTCTACAAATTAAGTAGAATATTTTCGTATTTTCAAAGCCATTTCCAAACTTGCTTTCACTGTGTTTATTTGTATATTTTATTGATTCAGTTCTTGTTAGCTATGTCCTTCCCAGGCTTTCAATAAGATTCACAGGCAATAGTTCCTCTGTTAAGAAATGCTGAGTCAGGGGTTTCTTTTTTCCCCTCTAGTTGCATGTAGATTTGGGTTGATTTTGAGTCTTATTCATTCATTTTCTGCTCCAGGTCTCTTTTGTGAAATATATATTTCTTTTCATATGTACCTTACCTATGGCATGCCTGTCCTTCCCTTCTGATTCTCTTCCTGTTCTTTGCATGCCCCTTTCTCCTCTTCCTCCATCCCTCATAGGGCTGCTCCCCTGCTGTTTCAGTTCATCTGTCAAATGGACCAGTTCTGTCTTCTCTCAGCCTGGCAGGCTTCCCTTTGAAGTCCCTTCTGTAGTCCTGGTTTGAGTCTGTCTAGCTGCCCTTAGGCATTGTCTGCAACAGGGGAAGATGCTGTGCAACTGTACTCCAACAGTGCTTTTGGCCTGAAGTTTATTTAAGTTGCACCACTTAAAACACTAATACTATTGAGGCTTTTGGGGAATTTGGGAAGTGCAGAGATAATTTCCTGTGGGTGAGACCTCAGTGTCAGTTGTCTTTTTGACAAGAGAAGGACCCCATCTATATGTGAATCAAATAATGTTTAGCAATTGACTGGAACTGACTGGGAAACATATGTACATCCTGCCTGAATTTACTGTGAAATGAGTTGCAGAAACTGCAGCAGGTAGGCAGGACAGTAAAGAAAAATATTATCAAAAATATACTTATATCTCTAGAGTATCGTTAGAATATTAGGTAGAGTATAGGTAGTGTATAAATGATTTTGCAAGAGACTTAGCTTAAAGTAGCTTATGAAATTTTGCCTGTTATTAAAGTCTAAAGAGGATAAACTTGGCCTACAAACAGGAGGAAAATATCCCACTGGTGTTTATGGAGCAATGTGGTGCTGAGAGGAGTGGTGGTAAAGTGTACCTATACCTCTCAATGCAGTTGGAAAAACTGGAGCACAAGTCTGAAGACTGATCAACCAGTGGCAATACCAGCAATAACGTGAAAATAATCTCCTCATCCTGGTCCTACCTGTCAGCCATTTAGGCTGTGTTTTCTTCCCATTGTACAGAATAGCAGTGGACATTACAAATGCTGAGAAGTTGTATTCGCTAGCTCTTTGAATCAGAAGTCGGCAAAGTAAATATTTTGTTTTAGAACAGTTTTTGTGCAGATTTTAGGGGACTTAATTTGTCAGTAAGTAAGTAACATCGCTATATTTTAACCAATCTTTATGTGAGCACTTAGAAATTATTGGCTTCTTATAGCGCTAATTATAACCTTGCTCTGATCAAGCAAAAAAAAAGATACAGGCAGCAACCTAAAAAAGATCAGGGTGAGGTGATGGTGGTGGAGAGAGACAGCTTTCTTTTAATTTTTCTCTAGCTTAAACTTGTCCATTTCTACTCACTGCACGCTTGGCACAAAATGCACTTGTTTTCTGTATCCAAGTAACACTCTCCTTCATGTTGAAAACTTCACTGATTGAACTGAGATTAAAGTATAAGCTTTCTTGTGGTTGAGGATTGTTGGCCAAGATACAGGAGAGCAGGGCTGAAATCCTGGTTTGTACATATCCGGTAAGACAAGTCTTTGTTCTTTGATTCATTATGAGAAACACTCGTAGAGTAAGTCTGTCTGTTCCAGATTGACAGCTTTGCCTTGAACCACACATGAAAAGACGCATGGAGGGCTGGGCTACCTGAAGGGAAAAAGGTGTAGGATAAAAAGTGCAAGCAGCAAAGCTTCAAAGCAGCTAGAAGGGAACTCTGCTCAGCATTTGGTTACGAACATGACATGCCTGTCTCCTGTCCTTCAGACAGCCATGTATGTTTCTGTGTCTGCCAGTGAAAGAAGCTAATTTTACAACTCAATTGAGCAGTAATAACTCCAATGACTATCAGGAATACTTCACACTTTCTTGCAACATTTTCAAGACTTCTCCGTCAGTTACTGATTACCCTAATCTTTTGTTGTAAATAGCTGGCCTGAGTATAGCATTATGTAGCTGGCAGATGATTTAAGCTGTTGAAGCAGTGTTCTGGCTGTAGTACTATATCTGGCATAGCATGCAAGAAACTAAGCTGTGGCTGCCCAGGGTTATGCCATCATTACCACTCATGTCAGCTGCCAACATTAATTTTGATGAGGAAATTTTTGTACAAAAATTTTGAACTCAATGATTTGTATAGAATTCGAATCACAGAAGTTTTGTGATTTGTCAGACAATTTCTACATGTGGCTATTGATGTTGCAACCAATTTCATTCCTGAATGGTTTTACAGAATTTAAATTGTAGTTTTAATCTGATTCTTTCTGATATTTCTGCATTCTCACTGATTCTAGACATCTTGTTTTGTCCTGTTTTCATAGAAAGCGCAATAACAATATTTCACATGATTTTGTGTGCAAGCAGTGTTAACTGAGCTATGTTCCGATTTAATTTACAAAAAGGATTAATAAAGTTCTACTCTAACTTCCTTTGGAGTTTGTATTCTTGTAGAAGTTGTGATACTCTGTGTGTTAGGTATTTCTCATTATTACATTTTTAGGGTTTTATTAAGGGTGTAAAATTCAGCCACAGCAGTAGCCAATATGGCCATTTCTGGCTTGTACGATCCTAAAAAAATACTTGGACTGATATCCTAGTTTATGTGATTAAAATCCTGTCTGCAAAAACTGAACTAATTCATTTTCATGCCTAATAGGTGTTTGGGAACACTATATGCTTGTGCTTGCGTCTTTGTTAAATGGATACTTTGTTTAGGAGAACACCAGTGTTGCTTTGTCCTCTCTACTGATGTGCTCATAACCACAGCTGCCATCACAATATTTAACTTTCCATCATGAATTAAGGCTAAATCATAAATGGGGAAGCTTGCTTTAATTCCTGGACATCCAGATGCATGGGGTAATAAAAGCACCTATCCAAGTAGACAGCATTCTTAAGTTTTTAGAAGTTTTAATAGGACAGTCTCAACACCAGCCTGATGTGTGGGCAGAGATAATCACAGCCCCCGTGCACTGAGGTTTTTCATGCTCCTCTTGAAGGCTTCATTGCCTGTGCTGGTGTTGTGTGACCTTCCCTCACAGGCACCTGCAGCATTCCTGTGTTTGGAATGGCTCTGTGCCCTGCAGCAAGAGACCTCTGCCCACACAAACATATGACACAAGGGTGCTGAGAGGCTACCTCAGTCTTCATCCTAAGGCATGAGATCTCCTCAAAGATCTGAAGCACCTGAGAAATGTCACTCACTAGGTTAGTGAGCCTTTCAGTCAAAATACAGTCCTCTTAGGTGTAATGAAATGTTTTTAAGCCTTTTTTTATGTTCAGTGATAACATCATCATTTGATTACAAATATTTATGAAATGTGAAGCATGATAGCCTGCAGTACAAAAGATATTTTATCAATTGTATCAGCACAAGAATTTTCTTAGGTGTATCATATACCTATGGATAAAATACTAGATAATAGTGCATTAACTTGATATTATAAATAGAATTAAATTTAGTGGAAATAAGAGAGTTCCCCAGTGAAGTTGACTTAATTTTTTTATAAATTAGTTATTAATGAGTTTTATATTTTTAGCTGTATGTCACTAGCATTTAATTGCTCAGCAGAGGGAGGAGAAAGAGTCAAGTCTCGTGAGCAGGAACAAAACTTCTGCAGCATGCCATTGGAAAGTCAATTTTCCTGCAGCAAGTAGTAGCTCTTTTTTTCTATAAATAACATTTATATCTATACCTAGTTCAACCTCCTGAATATAGGTTATGGGTAGGTTTAGTTATTGTGCTTGTGCAGGACGGCTGCATGACAGCACTGTGTTTAGGTTCCAGAGGTCATACAAGTGCATTGTGTCTGTGCATCATGCATCACTGCAACATTCACTGAGCAACACTGAATTTTAGCTCCTCTGGGAGGCCATTGTGGCTGTGCTCTTTCTCCAGCAGCAGCTGACATCAGCAACTGACCTTAGGTATAACAGTTTAACACTTCCTCTATTGGCCCTGGGAATATTACAGTTTATAGCTTTAAAACCCCTGAGGCTGAAATTAAGGTTGAAGGTATTTATTTATTTCAATTTTTCAATTTGGACACCTCCTTTTTGAGAGTGGAGGGTGAATTCCATTATTTTACCAAATTGTTATCAATCTAAATATTAATAATTGAATCTACAACAATTTCTTTGGAAGGTTTGTGGTTTGGACCAGTGGGTGTGGATCCTCCTGTTTTTCCCTGTGAAAACTACCTTGTTTAGGGCAAATCCTGAGCTCTCAATAATAGCCTTTTGTATAGGCTTAACAGAGTTTTGTAGGTTGTAGAATGACATAGAATAATTCAGGTTGTAGATCTCTAGCTGAATCTGCTGCTTAAAACAGGATCAGATGAGACCAGAACAGGTCACTAAGGGCTTGATCATTCAAATCCTGAAAACCTTTGAGGACAAATATGGCACGACCTGTATGGCGAACCTGTTGCACTGGCCAGCCTGTCCTCATGCAGAAAAGAAATGCTTATTTCTGCTTTAAGCAAGGTTGGGAAGGATTTCCTGTAGCTTCTCCCCGGCCACTGTTTTTACAGGAGCCAGAACTGAGGCTGAAGGGGAAATTTTCTTTAATTGCAGCAGAATTCTGCTGGGGCTTTTGCAATGAAAACTCTCAGTGATACACCAGGCTGGTGTCCAGATGAAGTGGGGAGAGAGAGGTGGGTTATATGAAGGAAAAGAGCAACTAAGTGGCAAGAGATAAACCTCTGGGGTACAGGACTTGCAGTCTTTGGAGCATGTCACTGGGGCTGGGCCTGTGCCTCATGTCCACTGACCATCCATCCTGAGAGTGTGTGAGACATGGAGGGAGAGATCTGTGCTTTCTTCACTCTTGGTATAGCTGCATTCACAGGTGGATGTGGTAGGGATGAAGTCCTGAAACTTTCCATGTTACCTCTTTAGAGACTCTTATTTCACTTTCTGCCTCATCCAGTTCAAGAGCTGCTTTTAGGCAGGTGGGAGATGTGTCTCCATGTCTTGTCTGAGGCAGAGGCTGAGGATGCCAGAGGTGAGGGTGCCCTGGAAAGTGGCGGCAGTGGCGAGGATGGCAGGCAGCCAGCCCCAGCAAGCGCTGCCACTTCTAGAGACTGTGGCTGTGATCTGGCGCCTGTCCTGCTGAGAAGTGGCAGCACAGCACAGCCCTTGGCAGCTGCAGGCCCCTTCTCCTGTTCCCAGCACTGCTGGCTGCCTGCTGGGCTTGCCTGGGTCCCTGGCCCTAGCCATGGCTCCATACCAGTCTGCACCATTTCCTTGCAGGGCATCTTCCTAGACATGTTCCTGCCCTTCTTGAGAGCATGTCTCCCTCCAGGGAGGAGACAAGGCAGGGATTCAACAGCTTTGCCAGAAGTAAAGTTCCCTGGAGCTCTGTGGTGTGCCCACAGGTGTTGACATCCTGTTGGCATTGCCAGCATATGTCTCCAATTATAGAGCTGTGAGAGCCCAGGTCTGCTTTTCATGGGGCTCATTCAGATAAGGGGCTATAGGCTCATGTGTGTCTGCAGGAATAGGAAACAGGATCCATACAGAAGGTGGAGGTCTGATTCCTGCCTGCAGAAAAGAGGAAATTTCATCAGATTTCCTCCTTCGCAGCTATTAAGAAGATGGAGGAGTGGGAGGAGGACAGGAAAGAGAGTCTACAATAGGCTATTTCTGAAATATGTTACTTTTTATTTCTAAAAGTAGTCTGCATCGTTTATTTTCCTCCATTGAATGTGCCATTTTCTAGATCTTGGATGCATTAGAAGCACTAGCTATCAGCAATGGCTGATAGCTTTGCTGCAGATTTTTCTTGATTTGCCTTTTGGAAATGCAGGTGTATGGTGGAAGCTGCTGAATAGATAAGCTGAAGTGTTACCCTTGTTTTGACTGTGTGGTTTTAACTCTGCAACAGCCTTGTCCAGGTCAGGAAACTTGCTTTTCAAAGGCATTTAAAATATTGGCTTAATACAGTCTCACCATATTTTTTCAGTCGCCTCTTAATAGTGTTTCAAGTATTCCATTGCTTTTAATACCGACTCTGGCTTTTCCCTTCAGATAACAGATTGTTTAGACAACCGTGAAATAAAGGAAGTATTTAATTACTTTGCCACTTTCCAAACCCTAGTATGTGCTATCTATTCACTAATGCATATGTTTTTGTGTTATTCTGGAAGGGGAAACTAGGGGTGAAATGTATGCTTATCTCCAGCTAACACAATCCAAGATATCCTACAGTTTTCAAAGCTTGTAGGAGCTATTCCAAACCAACCACATTAATGCCTGGTGATGAGCGATTTGAAAAGGAGATTAAAGCACGGCCATTCAATGCCCAAACGGGCACATATTGCTCTGAAACCTTCTCCCCAACGCCCTGCTGAGCTCCACACTGATGTGGTTCAAACACACTACAAAGGAGCAGCAAGCACTGCCTTGAGGAACTAGCACATACTTTTATTTCCACCATACTCACTCCGTGCTGTGTTCCTCTCTCCAGGCCTCCCCGGTGGAATTGGATGGAGCTGACAGCCTGCAAGCCGAGCCCAGCCCCAGCAGTGAGGCACCTGCTCCCCTGGAGTGCCCATCCCCAGGTGGGTGTGCTGCTGCCCTCGCCCCTGCCCTTGCCCTTCCTCTTTTGGGCCCGGATTGAGGCACAGCCTGTGGCAGGAATCTGCTAGGAGCATCACCAGCAGCACCAACAAGGCTCATTAGAAATGCTGCAAATGTCAGTAATCTTGACACAAAATGAAATTGTATGTCGTCAGAACAGTCATTCGCTGTAGCAACCTTCCAGGGGATGTGTTAGAGCCCCTGTGGCAGGAGGTTTTTTGGGTGCAGCTGGACAGGGGGATAGATAATCTCCTCGAGGCTCCCTTTCCCACAGAAGGAAGGACTAGATGGTCTGTTGAGGTCCCTTCCAGCCTGAGCTGTTCTGTCATTCTGTGATTGAAGGGACATACCTGAGTTGTCCACTTGGCCATTTGCGCAAGTGAAAAGCCAGTGCCACAGCATGCTGTAACCAGAAAGTAACAAAGGCAGAAGCTCCCAGTCAGTAACAGTTTCTGTTTGACACATTTTTTCCTCCAAAGACATTAACGAATGGGGAGAAAGAGTAAGAAGGGGCACTTGAGTCCCCTTAAGGGCTTTAAATGGACAGTATTGTGCAGACTCCTAATTTTCTGCCTTAAAGTCTTTATGCATGATTCCTAATCTGGGGAAAGGAATTTGCTAGTAGAATTTTAAGCTGTTTTCCTCAAAAGTGTGTTTCTGAAACACTGTCTTTGAGTAGGTACTTTATTTTCTGTATGCTTTTATACTAAGTTCATGGTATTTTTTTGTTCACTTTTTAAAATGGGTCTATCAAAGTTCAGCTTAGTATGGGTAAGTAAAAAGTACTATGTCAAGTAGGTGTATAAATGAGATCTCTGGTTGTCGTTGGTATGTAAGCATAATGCTCCTATTTGTTTGGGATAAATATGACTTAAACAATTGAGCTTTGCCCTCAAACATCAATGAGGTACCATTCCCCAAAGATTAGAAGCACATGAGCTGTTAGCAAGGGCTCATTAGCTGCCTTAATTACTTTGGCTCCTAGATGCCAAAGTACATAGTTAAATTTTGAATTGCATCTGACAGGTAATGTAGAAGGTGCGGTCTTGTAATGAAATGACCAAATTCTTCTCCCAAGAGTCAACAGTGATGAGCTGGTGGTATCTACAAATCACAAAGCCATCTTGGCTTCAGGTCCCCAGCTGTCAGAAATGCTAAATCTCAAGTATTGACAGCAAATTTTAACATCATCTGGCAAGGAAAACTGAGACAGCATTGCAAAAATCAAAATTATAAAGTAACATGGAGTTTTCATTATGTCTGCTTTGGAGGGATAGATGGGGTCCAAACTCTGTGCACTTCTTGTAAGCAACTTCCTCTGCTGTTCAGTAAAAGCCAGACACTTCCATGCTGTGGCCCCTGTGCTACTAATGATGGGGGAATGGCTCCAGAGGAGGGTGCATTGCCTTGGCAGCAGCAGCTCTTGTCTCTGCTTGTGTCCACAGTCTTAGTGGAGGAATAGGCTGCTTCTCTTTCTTAGCTTACTCTCCCAGCCTATCAGAGAGGTATATTCAGAAGCTGCCAATGCTGCTGTGGTTGGAAAAGGGACAGGATCTGAAGTTTTTGCTTTAGGAGGTTGGACAGATGTTTAGGTGCTTATTCAGTGCCTGAGGTGCTGGCGACTGCTCTGCTTCTAGTGGTGGTATCAGCCATCAGCAGTTCAGCTGTCACAGTCAGCTGTAGACCTGTGTGTTTCTAGTATCTTGTCCCAGAAACCAGCATCAGCTAGTTGGGTTTCTTTAAGAATTAGAAGACAACTAGGTTATCCCAGTCTAATGCTTCCTTTTAGCAGTTTGTTGTCTGATGCTTAACTGATTGTCAGTGGAAGTGGTAGGTTTAATGAAAATAGGCAAATATTCTCCAGTGCTGACACAAACCATGTCATATAGCTACTTACCTTTGTAACATCTTAGGGTAGGATTCACCACACGACTTCAGTAAAGCTGTCTTAGTTCAGTAGGCCCATTGTAGGTTACAGCTCATCTCAGCCAGAGGAGTGTCTGAAATAAAAGTTTGTGTGACTCTTTCCCAAGGACTTCTTCTCTGTTTTTGTTGACCATGAAGAATGCCCCATGATGCTCAAGTCAAGTGTAAGCACATAAATTTTGATAGGTGAATTTCATTCTTTGAGTCTTGTCTTCTCTGAGAGATAATTTTTTCCTGTGTTGAAGAAAAACTTTTTTTTCAAAACATCCAGTGAATGTGCTCACAGTATATCCAGTAAGAAATTGGACTGTAAGAAATAGGTGTATTTTATTTGAAAAAATACCTTAACCTTGCAACATTCTCTCTTATATATGTGGATTAGATTTAGATCAAAAGCAATTCAAGTCAACTGCAACTTGTGCCAGCCCTGTTGTGAAGAGATTTCTTCCCAGTCCTGTCCCTTCAGAGGAAACTGCTTCAAGCAAGAAAGACGTGAAGAAAGCTGAAATAGAGCAACAGAAGGAAGCAGAACTCCCTCCTACACAAGAGGTATGTACAGGCAAGAAAAAGAGGGAGTGGAAAACAAACAAAACAAAGCAAAAAAACCAAAACCAAAACCACCCCAAACAAACAAAAAAAATTGAAAAAAAGGAGAAAGATCTTACATAGAAGTGTTTATTGTGCAAATTGTTGTTTTTCTCCATAAAACGTCACTTCAGGCTTTCATTCAAAACATGTTCCTGAAGGACAGAGTCAACTGCCAAATCCTGCAGTCATCAGAGAGTTCTCCCTCAAAAGGAACTCAACAGGGTCTGCTTAGAGCATTTGAACCTGTAACCTGATGAGACTAGAAATGAGAACTTTACCTACAAACCCCAGTCCCACCACCTGTTGATAGGGCAGAATATCCAGAAGGTGTAGACAATGGAGTTATCCTCTTAGCCCTCTTGAAGTGCTGAACAAGTGCTGATGATGGCAGAGGTGACAATAAGTTGTGACCATACTGCTCTTTTGGGTTAGTTAGATGTTGGTTTGTTAGATGCTGTTAGAGGACTGACTTTGTTGTGCTGGGCAGTGTGAATGCCCACAGGAAACCAATTACTTACAGGACTTCAGTACTGCAACTCCCTGTTGGCATTCTGGAGATAGAGGCTTCATCTTTGAAAATATTTTTTCGGAAAATAAGTAGTAAGAGTTTAAGCCTTTGATTGAACCTGTTGCTTTTTAATTCTGTTTTCTGCTCCCAAATGTCTGAACAGGTGATTAAAGCAAAAGCCCTGGAAGAAAAGGGGAGTGTAGTGCTGCCATTTTTAAAGAAACTACCCGAAACCAGCCAAGTTACTCTGCATAACTCTGGTCTGCAAGGTGAGAAAAAAGCTTTTGGAAAACTCAGCAGACAGTAGTTAAATATGGGCATGTGGTGTTCAGGGAGAGAGGCCTAATCCATGACTTGGACGGTTTTGGAGCTAAAACATTTATTTTCTAGTTTCATTGACTGATATTGGTAGTGTGGCTTCAGTGATGAAAAGGACTCTTCTGGCTATTCCTCTTAAACACAACAGCAGAAATTTGACACAGCAGAAGGAGAGCCCTATCTTGCATTTACCTGGCCTGGCAGTAAAAGCTGTATTATGTCAATGAGTATTACGTATTGCTGCTCATAGATGAAAATGACTCAGTGATTGGCTTTATCTCACGATAAAAATTTCTGGAGATAAATTCTGCACTCAGCTGCTTTTGTGGAGCTCCTTGTGTAGATGAACAATACAAATATCTGGCCACATCTGTAAATTTGACCACTGCCCAAAACATTCTGCGTTCTTGCAATGCAGAACCCGTTTTTTCCCTTGCCTTCATGACAAAGTTTTGCTTGAGATGATAATATTTGATTTTATATTTATTTTAAATATACATATATGTAGGTATTGTGGAAGAAAGAGAGAAAAATCAACTGAGGTTTTTTTCTCCATAAGAACTTCCTAGGTTGTTAACCTATAGACAATATAGTGATTAGCCTTATGTTTTCAAGGTTAAAACTACTGAAGGTGATCCACTTTGAAAAAAACTGAAGAGAGATTTTTTACAAAGCCATGTAGTGATAGGACAAGGAATAAAAACTTTAACCTGAAAGAAGGTAGATTTAGATTAGATATTAGAAAGAAATTCTTTACGATGAGTGTGGTGAGGCACTAGAACGGGTTTCATAGAGAAGTTGGGGATATCCCATCCCTGGAAGCATTCAAAGCTAGTCTGGATGGAGCTTTGAGCAATCCAATCCAGTGGAAACTGTCCCAGTCCATGGCAGGGGGAATTGAAACTTGATGATCTTTAAGGTTCATTCCAACCCAAACCACTCTATGATTGTCTAAAAGGAATGGAATTCTCACTTTTTTTTTAGTGGGTAGGTGCTACCCAAGCAGACTTTATGAATAGTATAATTTTATGTTAAGCAAATCAAACCAAATATCAAGCAACTGATTGTAGGTCTCTTGTCCTGTCACTTTTCTGACTGGCGCTGAAACACTTGGCTGCACTCTAGTGTTCACAGCATATAAAGCACCTAAAGGCTCACAAAATCCTTTAAAACCTGTATCTGCAATAAGAATTAATGGAAGCATCGTGCAAAGACTCGAAAGGGTGGCTGCCCTTGCATCATGTGCTAGAGCTCTCATGTAAGTTCAGGTGCCATGTTGCAAAAGTAGCATTTAAATACAGGCAGTCCGTGTGATCTTCAGATCCGGTGTCAATTAGCTGCCGTGGGCCAAAGCGACTGTAGACAAATCCCTCTCGTGGCCAAGGCGGCTCAGGCCTGAGTCTGTCATCACCTTTTCACCACACTGTTTCTTGTTTTGTCTCCGTGCCATTGCCTGCAGAGCCGCCCCGCGGGGCCGTGGTTCCCCTTAGGGTCCGCAACCACTGGCGGCGCTCACAGTTTTTCTCGCAGTCAGGTAAATGCGGCGCCGAGAACAGCTCCAGCCCTTCTGCTGCTCCAGCCACAGGTGTCTTCGGACACGGGGCTGGGGTGACAGCTGATGATCACGGGCACTTGTTCTACCTCTTGCTTTCGTAGAAAATAATCTATTCCTGCTGCACAGTTGACAAAGAGCTGTTGGGTTGCACATTGTTGTGATGCTCTGGTTTCAGGCACCCAAAAGAAATCCCTTGCCTATAAATACCTTTTTCTTGATTTCTTTAAATCAGTCTAATTTTCAAAGACATTTGGATAGAAAATGGCAATGGTTCTCTTCGTAACTGTGGCTCTTGAATAGCGTAGTCCCATCCTTTTAGCATTGCTGTACTTTTTCCTTCCTTGCACTGAATCATGAAGGGAAAAGTAGATCACGGTAGGTAAGACTCAGTGTCTGAACACTGCTAACATCTGTGGCCAGAAGTAGACGGTATTAGCTAGTGGTAGAGTAGAACCTGATATTAGTTAATATTGTGCTCCTATATACCCAGTAGTTTTGTTGGTGATGGGTGTAATCTGGTCTTCTGATTTATTTGTTTGCAATTAGTCCTTGCATTTGGTTGTGGGAGTAAACAGGAAACTAACATGAAGCTCTTATACAGATACAATGTAGATTTATTTACAGGTTGACGAAATTTTGCTATGTTAAATTTAATCTTTCATTGTTCTGGGTTTTTTTAATAGCTGATTCTGATACTGGTGATAAATCAAATGTGAGTACTATTTTTATATTATTGTTTGGTTTAGCAATTTGTGTTTAGCAGAAATTATTTTTTATGCAAACTGTCTTGTAACATCCCTAAATCGGTATGAGAATTTTTTCTCGTGGGCATGTGAGAGGAAAAGTACAACTCAAATCAAGGCATTGTCTGTATCTGGAATTCATGCATTTTCCTCTTATCTGGAGCTAGCTATACAGTATTTGGTTGCTGGAGCCACTAAAGCTTCACAATCTCTAAATAATATGTAATTCTAAATTATCCATTGTATTTTAAATGCATAGAAATGAAAGGACTTCACAATTCTACTGTTTCCTCAATGAAACAAAAAACCCCAACACACCACAAATTCTACTCTGAAGTACACAGTATTTCACATTCTGTTTATAATATAGAAATAGACATACTCTTCCTATGAGATTCAAATACTGCTTGTAGTGGAAAGGGATATGACAGCAACTATCTAAACTTGCCCTTGACTATAAGGATTTTAAACATATCATGTAATAGGATCCTTAGTGAAATCTGAGGATTTATTTAATTATGGATAAAAATTCAAAGCAAGGCTACAGGCTGTTGTGTTGGCAGACATAAAATGAGAGAATATTTTTTACAACCTAAAATTGCTTTTCATATTGTAAAGAAGATTATAGAGAAGCAAAATATGTATGTTCTTTAAATTTGAGTCCCTGGAGGTGGCTCTGTTCAGTGATGCTTAGAGCTTTCTCTAAGACCTTTTCCCCCCCTTCAGCTGAAGTTTCCCAAGACTTTCTTTGCAAACCAAATGATTCTTTTATCATGTGGCTACAAATGGGCAATCCCAAGTGTCAGTGAAGCCAAGGATATTGTCTGCTAACTGACAGAACCCTTATCTAGTTTTCAATTTCCCATTGTAACATCACTGGCAGGGCTTAATCAGGCCCAGTGCAGTTTTCTCTGGTAGCCATGTGAAGTGCAGTGTCACAGTCTAATAGCTTGGTTTTCCTTCATGTAAGCGTTTCAATTTTTGGGCCTGGGATCCAGAAGAAGAGCGAAAGCGCCAGGAAAGGTGGCAGCATGAGCAAGAACGCTTGCTTCAGGTAGGGAAGAAACTGTGTGTCTTCCACTGTGTGGTTCAGCTGTTGAATTGTCCCTTTGGACAAAAGTTGGGAATTTTGTGTCATGATTTCCACATCCTCTGTGGATGCTTGAGCAAATTCTGTGGCAGTTGAGTGATAAATGAGCACACACACACGTTCTCTGTGATTTAGGCACTCTCATGTCTTCCCTTCCCCACTCCATGGAAAGACCAGAAGAACTTGGTCTTGCAATCCAGTGCAGAGTTAAACCAAATGTGTAGGTTCTCAATTATATTCAAATTATGCTGAGCACAGACTGCAAAACACTTATTTACTTGGAGCCTCTTTGTCAAGACTGACAATTTGCTAACTCTGATGCTTATGCAACTCTTCTTTAAAATTATGGTCTTAATAGCTTTTTTGTGGAATTCTGCTTTGTTCACAGGTTTTTCTTGGAAAATATCAAGCTAAATTTGGATATGAAAGGACTTGGGTTTGAGGGGGTTTTGTGAGAGAGGCAAACATCTTCAAGACAACCATTAGTTTTGCCTAGTGGTAGAGTAAACTCTAATAAAAGTTCTATGTTTGTGTCCTAGTTGGAAGAAATGCAGTGGACATGAGAACCTGAATTTCCCAGTTAGTCAGGAGTGTCTCTTGAAACTGTGACTAGCTTTGATCCCAAAGTAATCATATCTTTGTTCCATGCAACAGAAGAGCAACTGTCAAAGGATGGAGAACAATAAAATGGGTTTTTTTAATCCTTTAAGAAGAGCTTGTGCACCTCTATGCTTTCTTGTGATCATCTAATTTTGCACCTCTTAAAATGGTGTAAAATAATCATAATTATTTTTCTGGCACATGTGAGTGCTCTCTCAATAGTAAATGCTTCTCTTCTGGATTAGGCAGATGTAGTTACCAATCTGAACAGATATTGGAACGGGTGTAAGAGGGAAATGGAAATCACCATTCCTCTCCATATTCAAACCAGTTCTGGCAAACAATTTTAAACACCTCTTTGAGATAATTTTTTGTGCAAAACTCTGTGAAAACAATTCTTAAAAACCATCCTTTCAAGGAAGAAAATAAGCTATTTAGCTAGTTATAAACTTTCTCTCTTCAAACCTTTACACACTATTCATTTATCTTTTAAACTTGCATAGTTATTCATCATTCATATTGGCATATCTCTTAAATTAGTACCAGTATCTGCAAAACTTGCTTATTTATATTCTACTTTGCTGAAGTTTCTAAAGTACAACCATTGTCTCAGTGTTTCAGGATTTGTGAAACATTTTTGAAACTTAATACAGTGAGATAAGCAAAGAATTATTAAAATTTTTGAGCATAAACCTAATTTCTGACCACAGTTTTTAAAAATTCTAAGAAATTAAACTTCTTCTAATGTGTGAAAATTTCCTTGAAGTTTGAAGGTGTTAAATGTAAGTCCTAGAAAAAAATGGGCAAAGTGACAAAAAAGCTTTTTTTTACATCCATGGATTTTCTAGTTTTTATTCTTTTATTTCATCCTATTTCTGATTAAAACACTCTTAGCAAATTCATTCTTGCTGTGGAGATACTACAGAATTGACGCTTAATACTGAATGCTCTGAATTTACCTTCATTTGTATCCATGTACAGGAGAAGTATCAGAAGGAGCAGTGCAAGCTGAAAGAGGAATGGGAAAAGGCCCAGAGAGAAGTTGAAGAGGAAGAGCGTAGATACTATGAGGAGGTATAAGGCTCAGAGGAGGAAATTGTTTTTTGGTTGTTTTTTTAATATATTTAAATGCACCCACTTATGTAACAAAAAAATCATCCCATACCTAGATTAATTAATGAAAATCCTCTTCAAGGCTGAATTCTGAGGAGGATTGTTTCTCTTAAACACTGCCATAGATGTTGAGGAAAAATATTTAAATATTTGGACAGGTATCCTCAGCACCTCCGCATAGGTGGAGGTGTCTAATTGCTGTGCAAGTCTGGGTGAGTCAGTACAGCTAAGTCTGGGCATGCTCAGACTTCCCTGCGGGGGCAGAGCCCTGTGTATTTTGGCATATACTTGGTGCCTAGACTTGGTAGAACTCCAGATGAAATTGTTTTCTGCCTTGGGTTTGATCATGGAGGTATTTTGTAACTGGCCTTTAAATAAAATCCACAGATATTCAAAGCTTGCAGTTGTGGAATATTAGCAATCTATAAGATAGTGGTTTTCTTCTGTTTTATGTGGGTCATTATTGCAGGAAACTGAAAAATATTTATAGGTTGGTCTATGCATTATATAAATTGATGGTTTCTCATCTGTGCTTGAGGGACATACTTGTGGTCTAAACAAGAAATTTTTTCAGCATTCAGAAAAAGTTTCTCATGTACCAAGGGTAATTTCATACTTTCATATTAAACTTAATACACTGGCGCTTTGTCAAACAGTGGTTCCATGCAAGTGAAATATTCTTTCCTGTTTCGGAAATTCCATCTCAGTGGTAAAAGGAATGGAAGTGCAAAACTTTGAAGAAAATTAAAAATTGAGGTGTTGCCATTATTCTTGGTACCATAAGTTCTTATCTAGCCATCTAAATATGGCACATAGCCAAATCTTGTTTTTCTTATGTGTTTCATAAACTCATAGTTTACATTCTGTATTTTTAACCGCCACTGTCTCCTGATCGTCTTTCTTTAGGAACGCAAGATAATTGAGGATACTGTAGTTCCATTCATTGTTTCTTCAAACTCTGCTGAGCTCCTCTCATCTTCTTCCTCTACCACTGAAGGAAACAAGACAGTGGTGAGTTTCTCATGGAGTAGTAAGGCACTGAAGAGCAAGCTGTCTTCAGTGCAAAGCTTAATCCTTTGCTAAAGGCTGTCAAAGTCTGGGAGCAGTAAGAGTAAGAGTATTCTCTGAGTCCCTTTTCTAACTGGTGATATCTCGGAGTGCTATAACTTACAGATTTTCACAACTGAATAGCTGTATTCCCAAGCAAACTTCTACCATCCTATTTTCAACTAGAGCAGAGAATGATACTTTCTTTCTACAGCCACCTCTGTTCTTTAACCAGTGCTGTGAAACTTTAATTATCTTCCAAAGCCAACAAAATCTTAAGTGGTTTCCCTGAATCCAAAATTTTGAGTGTAAAATAGTACTTTATATATATATATATCAGATGAGACTGAATCCTACCTCCCCAGTTCTCCTCCTTTTCTCTCCCATCATCCCTCCTAGAAAGCAGCGAAACAACTCTCTATGCTTGGTTTTTTTTTACTCATGCAGCACAGAATGTTTAATTCAATGCCTCTAGCATCTGATTAGTGTTTGCAGAGATCAGAGAATGACACCCCAGGTATGAGCACGGTTGAGTAAATGTGGGATTCACAGACATAATTTTCTCTTGCCTAAGGCACCTGCACCCAGTCATCTGCCATTTTCCATTCAACTTCAAGATTAGGAGTACTGTATCATTTGGTTCTCCTCTCACTCTTCCTGCCCTCGGTTTCTCACTCATCCTGTGGGTGAGAACAGGGCATCAGCCATGGCAAATTTTCCACATGGCTGTGTAGCAGTAACTTCCTTAGTGGAATTGCTTATGCCAGTCAGGACCCTGCTTGCACCCAGAAGTGAAGGATCTCATGCATTGCTTACTCAAGCTCCCCAAGTCAGATAGGAACCACTCCTGTACTGCTTTGGAAGTAGTACTGTGTTGGCTGCTAGGTGGTGCATGGAGATCCAATGCTCCAGACCCAGGAAGCCAGCAGCCTTCCCAGAGAGAGAGTCCCACAAGGGACAGCCTTCTAGGGGGTCTTCTGGCAGGTCTCCTAGCTACCAGATAAACCTCAGCAAGTGGTGGCAGTGGCCACAAGTGATCAGCTCAGTGATTTCAGCTCTGCTTGCAAGGCTATGCCAGGCTGACTCAGGGACAGAGAGACAGGAGCGTCGTATGGAGATTCCACAGAGATTCCTTTATTATCCAGCAGCTCTGTGAAGGGAGCCAGGGACGGCAGCTCCCTAAAGAACTGGGGGGAAAACTGGGTTTTTTATGGGGGAAAGCAAGGGTGGTACCAAGGGGGAAAGACCAATGGGTTACAAAGGATTAACGTGGGTACTAGGGCATGGTGGGATAACAGAAGCTTTTAGGGAGTAACTCACCTGATAAAAAAGGTGTGCCAACCGAAGGAGCATCCTTCCAGGAGGGTTGAGATAAGCTAATCACAGCCCATTCAAGGGACATCCCATTCAAGGGACATCCCTGCAGGGCAAGGCTGCAGGTGGAGCCGTGGCAGGCCCATGGGCCTCCACAGTACTGGTGTTGCCTTTGAGGATGCCCAGGGCATGTGAGCAATGCTTTGCTCCCAGGCAGTGACAATAAGCTGGTCACTCACAAAGTCTTTACAAGTCCAATGGGAGACTGTCTAGACTCTCAAAGTAATTCAAGGATTTCTGCCAAAGAGTATGTAATGGAAAGTTTTAATTTACTGTCCTTAGCCCCATAATTGGTACCTAACTTATTTCATGCTCAACTTAGTCTAACTAGTTGTTGTTTCAGCTAAAGTCTTAATTAAATCTAAAGTTAGCCTTACCAGGGCCAAATGGTTCTGCTATATAAATGTCAGATGCTCTTTTTGATAAAAAGGTGTGTCAACACAATATATCTAGAGGCAGCCTGTACTTCTCCCATGTGTGTGCTGATGCCAAATTCAAAGGGAGCTCCTTGTTCCCTCTTCATCTGTCTTCTAGAACTCAACTGATTCAAACAGCTGTCCAGGGGAAGGTAAACAAAATGAAGTTGCAAAGCAGAAAAAGGTGCTCTGGGAGCAGGACAGTATGTCATCTCTGAAAAGCAAGGAAAGTGAACTCTGGCAAGAAAAGAGGAGGTATGTATTGACCCTAAGCATTTAATAACTGCATGAAGCTTTGTGTTCTGTTGGTTTCTGGGGTATCACATGTGCCCACAATTGATGCTGGAACATCAGCACTTGGTGTCCTTGATACAATATATCCTGATCAATATTCACTGGCCCCACAGACCGATGCACGTGGGGCAGTGCACAGTGCTAGTTGTGTGTATCAGAAGATTTGGCTTTATCCTTCTATGGCTTTGCCAAGAGGCTGTCACAGCAACCAGATCAGACCTTAGACATCTGTGCTCAGACACCTGTGTACATCACCACACTGTGTCTTGTGTACATTTCACAAGCCATCTGAAGGACTAAAGGAGTGGTAGTTGTTTTCACTCTGAACCTGCATGAAATTGCCTGGCTATCTCAGAAATGCCATACCCAATCTTGCCAGGTGGTGTTTGAAGTCCTGGACTTTGCTCAACTGCTAATTAACAGGTTTCACAAAAAAGAAGAGGCATCTGATGATGCTGGGCAGTGTATAGAGAACATGGATAAAAACTTTTTTCTGTCAAAGAAGCCCTTTTCCACAAATCCAAAATTATCTTCAGCACATCTAAGTGGCAGTTTGAGGTAAGCATGAAGACTTGGACTATTTGGAGACAAACTTGTTAATTCATTAAAGTTTTCTATTGCTTTGTCATTGCAAAATTGACACAATAACAAAAATCTTTTTTGTAAAAAATAGACTGATATTCAAATGTCTGATTTTTTACATTATATTCTAGGTGACATTTTTCCTGGCTTTATTTATACAAATGCCACTTTTTTTTATTGGCAGTGGAAACAAAGTGCTCTCAGGATACCCAGAGACTGGTATCTTGAAAGGAGGAAGTGAACAGGGGCACTGTGTGCCAGCGATGGAGCACAGCTCACCTGCCAGACTGAATCTGCCACTGACTCAGGATGAGAGTAAGACTCTTCCTATGCATGTGTTCTTCTCCAGATAGAAATCAGGCAGAAATCTAATTCAAAGGTTTTTGGAAATTAACAGTATCTTCAAAACTGGAATGTCTCAGACTAAAAAAATTATTTTGTGTTAGAAAGATAAATATGTTAAGGTGAAATTTAAACTCTTGTTTCCATCAGAGTCATCTCTGAATTTCTGCAGCAGGTATCTTGTTTATAGGCCTGCATGTTCACAGTAGCAGTTAAAATGGTTATCTTCAAATCTTTTGCATAATCTTATGTATATATAGGATTTATCTTGATACAGAGAGCATATCTCCAACACTTATTTTGTGTTTTTATAGCAAATTAGATTCTTCATGTCCATTTCAGTCCAGTAAAAATCACTACATGTGATATGTAACCTTTTCAAGCCAAGCCTAAAGCAACACCAGCCTCAGTTTTGTCATTAGCAATGTCTAATGACATTTAAAGTTAATTAATTTTTTTAGCTCCCATAAGTATTGATGTTTTTGAAGGAAGGAATTCCCCCAAAGCATTGCAGTTACGAGAGTCAGCCTAAAAAAAGGCAAATACATGAATTTCTATTATCTATCTAATAAAAGCAAACAGTGGAAAGTAAATAAGTAGGACTAAAGACAGAAAGTGAAAGCAAATTTTGAAATCAAGTTGTAGATTTCTGTTTTCAGTTCAGCATAAAAATTCATTATTCTAAAAAATGAAGTGTCTGTGAACAGAAAAGTTTTCAATGTTATTACTTGCTCCAAATGCAAATTCAGTCTATCAAACTTAGGTTTGCTTTCTTTGTCTCAGTTTCATCATATTATTATTGCTTTGATAAAAGTTGCACAAAGAAAGAAAGAAAGAAAGAAAGAAAGCAGGCAGAATATATATTATCCAACAATACAGCCTTGGGAGTTTATAGTAGTGATTAAGCAAACTTAACAGGTCTGACAGTTTAAATAACCCTGCTTCAGGGTTTTTCTAGGTTCTTTTCAACAACTTGGTCCTCTGCAAGTATTCTGACAGCTCTTTTTTTGCCTCTTAAAGCATTCCATCCTTTCTCCCTCCTTAAGCACTTAAATAATCAGATATGTGAGTTTATTGTCTTGATATCAAAATAGGTAACAGGCCTTTCATAGGCCTCAGCAAAGTTTTCATTCTCTAACCAGATGAGTGGCTCACAGCAGGGTAAGGTTTCTCCTCAGCCTGTGAGCCACAAAATTCATCTTGCAGAGTCCAGGTAATGCCCTGTTCCTCAAAGATGGAATGGTTGGCTGCCTGGGCGTCTCACAGATCACTGGTTTTTGCTTTGAGGCTGTTATTGTCACTGAGACATCTGAAGCACAGAAGAAAATTACAAAGGAATTACTGTTTATCAGTAGGTTTATGGAGAGCAGTGACTATACCTCCATTCCCTTAACTCTTGCTGTTGAGAAGTTTAGATCCTCCAGCACCACAGAAGTTTCAGTCTCTGGTTCCCCTTTCAAAAATCCATTCAGCAGCAGGGTAGATCGTGTGTATGTGAAGGTAATGCAAAAGGATGTTCCATAGAGGTCCTCTGATGTAGCAAAGCCTGTCTCTAATTTTGTGGGGGGTTTCTGAGAAGTTTGTTTTAAGGAACAGTACATGTCTCTCCTTTGAGGTGTGCCCACACTCTATGATGGTCTATAAATATTGACAAAAGCATTTTGCCTCAAATACTGAGTCTTTCCCACCTCTTGCTGTAGATGTCTCCTGGAATCAGCAGTTGCTGACAAAGAGATCTCCACAGTGCCCAGAGGACATTCGGCAAAGACCTTTCCTGGGCCAGACTGTGGGACAGCAAACAAGCTCCACAGGGGAAGCAAGGAGGTGAGAATACAAAGGTTACTGAAGAGATTGAGAAGTCCTACTTGCTCTGTTCTCCCTTATATTCCTGCTCAGCATCCTTTATTGCTTGGGTTTGATCAGTCCTGCAGTGTGAAGACACCCTTCGTGTCTGGCTTTCCCACCAAGGCTGCAAACATTTATCTACTTTGTTTCTCATTACAGGCACCACAGTTACTAATTTCAGGGGGGAGCACATTCCCTGCACGCCTCCCTCTTCTTTCTCTGTAGCTCTTTTAGCGCATATCCGTATAACTTTTCATGTGCTTAATTTGTTTTAAGTGCCTGAGACAAACATTTATAGCTACTAAGCAGGTAAATATGAGGGTGAGAGTGTCAGGTTATATCTGCCTCGTTGAAGCTGGAATCCAAGAGCATCATTGCCTATCTTCCAAGCACATATTGATTACTACTTTATAGTCCTTTAAAGATTTCTCCCTTTAAAAGAAGATACATTTAGAGTAGTATTTTCTTTCTTTTGTAAATTTTGGTGAGGTCTTTTTTCTTTGCTGCTTTGCCTGCTCTTTTGTGCAAGCCTTACTGAACCAGTTCTTTTGGTAAATAACGGACCGGTTTGCCTAATATTTACAAAAAAGAAGCTATGCAACAAGAAAGAAACATCTGTTTTCGTTAGCACATATATGAAAACAGTCTTCTGCAGAACCTGTTACCTCTATTAAGGCTGTATCCAGTCAAAACTAATGTAGATTGAGATTTGATTACCTATTCCTCATTATAAACTGCTTGTGTGCGTGTTTGAGAAAATAGCTATTTAATCTGTAAACCATTTTAAGCAGTTAGAATTTGGATCAGTCTTATGATTTCTGATAACAAAAACCATAGGTTTGCCCACCAAACTCTTTCAGAGTAGCATGGATACAAATTAACCAGATAAGCCACCTCTCAGTGTTTTACTGTGGTGTGATTTGGCTGAACCCTCCTTCATCATGGAGAGAGCTACGATGGATTGGTGGGGTGGGCAGGAGTCTCCACATGGCTGATTTCCTTGTGAGGTACCTGAATGAGCAGCAGTGAGCAAAGAACCAAAAACGCAGAAATTCACTGACTGGAATTTCTCCATACAAAACCTGTTTTTATTTGTTGTTCTGCTGTAGTAATGCATCTTCTCTGCTGTATATTAGGGTTGGCTATCATGAGAACTTCCGATCTGGGCCATCATCTCCCTGCTCTCCTGCTGCTCTAAGTCAGTCACCCAACAGGTACTAAAGGTCAATAAAAAATTCTGCAGACCAAACACATCTTGTAGGTGCTGGTGAAGTGCCAGAGTGAAAATCACATTAGCATTATGTGGATGCACTATTAAATCTGCTAAACGTTGCAATTCATAACTGTCCGTGGGATAAACATGTAGCTCCCTCTCCCATATTTCTTCCCTGCTTCAATGATACTGTTGTGTTTTCAGATAACACAGTTCAGAATGCAGCTCTAGAACTCTGCTTGATCATTGAATTTTCAATAAAATTGAAATGGGACAGTATAAACCTCAGTCAAAGTGTGAACTCAGAGTGCTTAAGGCAAAGGATATTTTTATTGTGAATAGTCACATGCTGAGGAGTAAGATCTGTTCTAGACATTGGTACTTGCTGGCTGGTTTTTAAAATAATTTTTTACTTTCATTTCCAAACTAGAAATGCATTTTGCTCTTTTGCTGATTTTTAATTTGCCCACAATCATGCTAATCTCCTAAAGATTTGATTCTCTCAAGCAGTCTGTACATCTTTCAATGACTTATGTGTACCAACTCTAGATAAATGTTAACTGTGGCCTGATTAAATCACTGATAATTTGGAGTATATTAAAATCAGTTTGCTTATTAAATAGAGTAAATTAATACAACATAGAACACAGCAAGTTTATTTCTCTTTAAATTACATTGTTCTTCACTTTTCAGATCAAAACCCTCCTTCTGATGTCACTTGCATTGACATTAAACTATTGGGAATTTTTTACATGAACAATTTATTATGTTTTTTTAATCACAGCTGCAGTTTTGGTGGGATTGCAGATCATTTCCTTGCTACAGGTCATTAGTTGTGCTATCTGCTTCATATTACTTAGCAGCTATATTCTGATCTGAGAATCTTATGCATGATCTTTTCCTGAAATAAATCTTAGTCTTGTAAACAATAAATGAGATGTAATTAATTTTTCCACTAAAACATTAGAAAATTCTTAAATATTTCCCAAGATATGAGATTTTAACTTGCTCTTGCAGTAACTCTGATAGTGGAGAAGAAGTAAAACCAAAGGTGATCTCAGGAATAATATAGAAGCAGAAGGGTTAAGGCTGTAGGAGGGGAGAAAAAAACACAGCTAAGTTATTCTAAAAGGAATTATGATAATGAAGCAACAAGGGAGTCATGTGTCTGTGCTGCCTGTGTAAATGGTAGGCTCAAGAGCTGGAAGCAAGGACAATTTTCTAATCATGATGAGTTTTTCTGCTGCTTCTGTCTGTCTTTCTCTGTGTCTCTTTGCACCCCCCCCCAAAAAAAAAGACTCTTGTCATGCTGCAGTCCAGATCTCTCTGTTGGTAACTTATTATGTTGCTGTTATCAAAACCTTAAAGCAAGAGATTGTAAAGTTGCTTATCCAAGTAGGATTCCATAAAATTGTCTTTTCAAAACTCATGAAGTATCACAAAGTTTCTCTCCTGTTTCAGCTCTGGCTGAAAAAAGCCTGGATGACACAGAACAACAGGGGATCCCTTTTGGTCTCGGGTTCATCTCACTAGGCCAAGCATCAGTTCTGGCATTTATGAGAGAGGTCTAGACAGTCCTTCAGGACTGCTGAAGGAGCAAATTGAAATATTTTCTGCATTGCAGAAGAGGAGGTCCAATTTCAGGTTTTCTCTGACTAGTTATAGTATTAAGTGGCTGCAGCAGCACAGACTGAAATGAGTCAGCCAGTGCCTGGTCTGTGCTACTGTACTTATGCTGTCACTATTGACTTCACCATCTTGACTGGGTGCAAGAATAGCATCCCTGTTTTCTGACTTGCAGTGAGCAAGTCCATTTGTAAAGAAATTGAAAAATTTCTGGGCTGAGAGTCTGATTCACCTAATTTGTGTGAATTGCTGTGGCATTGACTAGGTCTAAGTAACCTTTACTATAACAGTGGTGAGGTGATCGTCCAGAGAGACTGTGGACTCCCCATCCCTAAAGGTGTTAAAGGCCGGGTTAGATGGGGCTCTGAAGAACCTGATCCAGTGGAAGATTCCCTTCCTATGGCAGGGGGGTTGGAGCTATGTAATCTTTAAGGTCCCTTCCAACCCTAACCATTCTGTGATTCTGTGAATCCATAGGCATGGTTCCCTGTCATCCAGGCCTCTGTTAAGAAGCTTACATCTCCCTTGATCTAGCACAGCAGACTGGCAGGGAAATGTGTCTGAGCTGCTGTGCATTTAAGCATTTAAAGCCCTTTGCCTGCTTATCTGGAAGGCAGATGTGCAGGTTGATTCAGTAACATGGCTGAAGGGTCCATCTGTATTTGTGTAAACTCTTCCAGTGCTCCTTCCTCCCCTTCTGTCCCTCCTGATAAACCTATCTAAATATTTGGCTTCATTTTTGCATTAGTTGCTGTGTTCTTACAGCCATGTTTGTCTCCTAGGTCTGTCAGCGGGAAGAAGCTTTGTTCTACCTGTGGTCTCCCTCTTGGAAAAGGAGCTGCCATGATTATTGAAACACTCGGTCTTTATTTCCATATTCAGTGCTTCAGGGTATGGTTCTTGCTTTATTAAGAAAAATCTCAAGTCATGCACAGTACGAGAGTAGATGTGAAACTGAAAATGAGAGGACCAGGGGATTTACATGGTTGTTATGCCTGTTTGAGTGTGTTGGTTTGTAAAAATAATGTGTTATTTTGCCGTCAGACACATTAATTGGACTAAAACCTGTGATCAAGCAAGCAAACTTAGCTTCTGTACTTATGGGGGTGGGGAAAAGCATCATATAATTCTCTGTTGTGCTCATTGTTTTTTAAATATAACATCATTCACCTTGTGATTTTTTAGGTTTTTTTTTTCTTTCCGAGAGCATAATCAGTCCCAAAGTGATTTTTGATCTGCCCCATGGTTAGAAAGCTTTGACTATGGAATGAATGGTGTATTCTGGCTTTTACTAGAAATATTTCCTGACTGTTCTTGAGTGTTTCAGTTTGGAAATAACCTGAAGTGTTTTCTAGAGAACTCAGAAAGTAATTGTTTCCATTATCTCTGGCTCAATTGATATTATACATCTGTAAAGACTTTTTTGAATTTAAACATTACCCAGACTAAATCTCTGGCCTCTTTAAGCTTTATCCATCACAGCTGACCTGCCTCCAGAATGCAGCCTCAAAGTCCCAAAGATGTCCCATAATACAATAATTAGACTTGTCTAAGTGGAGGCTGCTGAAAACTTGACTCTAAAAACCCTCTTACTGATTTGCAGTGTTTCCCAGGAGTATGGGCTGGGTTCTAGGGGGCAATTTTTCTCACCATTCCAAGAATTCCTTAAACAAAAGTAAAAACTTGGGAAGAATTGTGACAGATAGTAAAGCATGGTCTCTCTGACTTTCTCTGTTCTTCAACTGACAGTGTGGTGTTTGCAAGGGACAGCTGGGAGATGCAGCAAGTGGCACAGATGTCAGGATTAGAAATGGTCTCCTTAACTGCAATGATTGTTATATCCGATCCAGAAGTAAGTACCAAATGCTGGGAACTCTAACAATCCCGTGGCCAGGATTTTAACTGTCAGATTTGTCCAGCTTTGACACTCAGGCATAGCTTCACCATGGGAAGAGGAATCTTCTCATGTCATTTTAATTATTTTCTCCTATCAGAAAACATTTCCAAGCCCATTAAATTTTGCCCAGATGATCTCTGCTCAGCACTATTAGACTTAAAAGCTGTTTCTGTGCATAAACATAAACTCCTATACTATGCACACATATTGCATGACCGGGAGGCTTGGATCGCTCACATCACATGAGACAAGGTAGAAAATTCTACCCAATCTAGGACCCTGGGCCATGTTGGAGAAGTTCCCATTTTTAAATCTCTAGGCCTCCCTTTTGTGAACAAATGGTCATGTAAAATATTAAGAACATTCTGTAACTCAGTGAATCCTTGTGGTGATATCCCCAGATATGTGCTAAATAGTGTTGCTTGCCATAAATTTTGAAGAATGAGCCAGACAGTTGCATGTCAGAAAGAAAACTTAGTGATTTTGTTGCCTTAGAGCAGGTCACCTAAATGTCTTTCCAAGCCCTGGATTTCTGTGACTGATACCAAATTATTAGAACATTTTAGCTTCACCCCAATGTCACCAGTGATGGTCAGGGCTCATGCTGGTTTCCACCTTGTGGAAAATAGTAAGATGCAAAACAATAGGAGTAATTGTTGTCTTCCTGTTAAATACTATTTGGTATATTCACTGCCTACCGTTCCCACTGATAAGTGGACATCTAGAGCTCTTTTGCTTACTATTTCTCTTGTCCTCTCTCAAAAGCACTGGCTGTAGAAATCCAGGAGTAGGAAAGGAACCTCCCTACCTTAGCCAGAAGAAAAATGGGTACTTTTGCTCTGATGCTTCAGGAAGGAGATACTTCTCCACTAGCAGAGCTAGAGGGTGCTATTGTATAACTGTTTTTTTGGCGATTTTTTCTTAAATTCTGCTAAGAAATGTTATCAACTTTTTATTATATATTTAACCTGGAATATTTAGAAATACCTTTTTCCCTTCGTGCTTGATACCATAAACCTTCCTCATGTGGATGATGTCCTGACCCTTAAAATGCAGATTTGCACATCCATCTTTACACAAAAAAGAGAGGAAGGTATAAAAGTTATAATTTCCTTTTCTTCTTAGTCCTTTTTGCTTAAATAAAAATTTATGTCCCTTGAGGATAGATAAAGGCTCAAATAAATTATCAGCTTATGTGCTGTAGAAATCACTCTCTTCGTTATCATTTCTACAGCAGTATTATTAGAAAATGCATTACAGAGCTGTGTGCAGTGTTTCATGTAATAATATTTTGCAATTGTGCATACCCAGCAGAATGGTAACCAAGTCCATGACAGAGGAAATAGGTTTTGAGAAAATGTATGGCTCCTGAAGAATAATAATGGCATGGGGTTTTTAATTTTTACTACAAATTGCCTCTTCCTGTTATGTCCACTGGTCATGCAAAATCTCAAAATCCAGTTAGCTGAATTTAACCTACAGTAACTGGTGTTGACAATTCAAAGAGACTGGTTTTGATAGAACTGCAGATATTTCTAGATGCTGATTTTTAACTAAAATTTTATGCACTGCACCCCTGAAATTAAGAATAAACTGGTACAATGTTAGTGCTTTGCCTTTCAGTTCTGGGAATAATGGTGCAAAATGTCAAATCAGTTATTTGATTGCATGGCTTATGCCTTGCTGCCCCCATGGCTGCATGGAGCAGCATCTGAAACCTGTGCAGCAGTGGGCAGAAGTGACAGTCTCTGACTAACCAAGGATTAGTCAGTATAGTTTTGACACACATATGGACATCTCAATGAAATATTTTGCCTCCCAGAGGATTATCTGAAAAAATGGATGATTCTGTTTCAAAATAAATCATCGAAAACGGTGACTAGAAAAGCATTAAGGATTCTGTAGTGGTCCAGGGTCCAAAATATTCCTGGTTTTCAGATAAAAGTGGATGGGACATTTATCAGTAGGCTGTTTCTGTACAATGAAACCTCACAAGGAAGGAAATTCTCTATTCAATATCAAACACAGGGAATGGTCACAGGTTGGTGAGTGTCAAAGTCAAAGGTGAGAAGTAAATTCATGAGGTTCCCTCTACAGACAAATAGCACAAGGAGTCTGTAGTACCAGGTAGCACCAGCTAGGCACAGCTGAAGATGACTCAGCAGTCCTTTGCTTTACTATTTTGCCACTGCAGAGTCTGAAATAAATATACACACAAGTCCTTTGGGCGTAAAATAAGATAAAACTTCACGCAGAATGCATTCAACATGTGACAATGAAAATGTATTTCCACTGGAATTATGCTGAGTCCTTTTTGTAGTAGTTACTGACCCAGCTCTGCAGGAGAATGAAAAAACAGGGTACAAATATGTATAGCTCCAGATGCATTTTTTTTAATTGTAGAGATCATGTAAAGAAAAGTCTATATTTGTTAAAATTTGTAACCAATTACTTGTTTTGGTTTTGTTTTCCTAGCTGCTGGACAACCAACTACATTGTGACATGATTTTCAGTCCTAATAACTTTCAAGAATGAACTCTCTCATATGTATCAGCTGCCTCCAGACAATCTCTAGTAAAAGCTTGAATCCATGGACATGATGGCTCTCATCTCGTTTTTAAAAACTCACAAAAAAGCTGCACCTGCTCCTTTGAAATACAATATGTTGGTTTTTGCTTCCTTAAGAAATTTGCAAAATATGTATGACCATGTTTGGAAGGAAAAGCCTAAGTATTATAAATAAAAACAAAACCAACTTTCAGGTATGCTTATGATACCCAGTCTGTTACGTTGTTCTTTTGAAAGTAATAAGAGAATAAACATGCAATAAAGCTGTTTTGTTTTAATATTTCTAGCAATTAAAAAATTTAAGTTTACAGAACCTTTATAGAATATGCCAACTTGAGCTGAGAAGTGATTTTGAGATAGTATCTAATCAGTGCATTTGAAAAACTAAACATCGCAGCACGACTTCTCTGTTATAACTGAAGCTATAACTTTTTTTATACAGAGACTAGTTTGATAATACATCCTGTAATTCTGAAGCATTTTGTGTTTATATTACCTTCAATGGAGGGTAGAAGTTAAACGAATAAATTATTGCACCTTTAGTCATAGGATTTTTTGTTTGTGTACCTCAAGTAATGTTCATGTCTATAGCTTAATATTCTCTGAAATAAAGATTTCTTCATTAAACCTAAAGATTGCATACCATTAACAATGGAAAAATTCCCATCAGGAGAAATCCTTCTTAGTAAGTTCAGCAGCCTGTATTGTTATTAAACTCATTGAAAGGTGATGTGGGGGAGAGGCAGCCGAGCAGGCAGACCCAGCAGAGTTGTGAGTCTCTGAGTTGCAGTGGAACTTTTCTCTTTGGCATCTAACTTGCCGATTGATTTGAATGGGCTGGAATCTGCTCGTTCACTTGAAAACATGACACTTGGTTGAAATTTCATGCAGAGAAACATGTGTGGTTTGGGTACTGCCCAGGGTAGAGAATTAGACAGCCTTAAACCTGTGTTCCTCCATCCACTACCCAAAAATAGTCAACAAAACCCAGAAGTGTGGAGGATTGCCAGGGAGGAGGCTGGAGCCACAGGCAGAAAAACTACCTTGCCTGTGTTTGGGACAGTTTTCCTTTGTGCTCTTTGATTAAGTATATGTTCCTTACTAAAGTGATCCAGCAGCTCATTGAAACAGAGGTTCAGCAGGCATCTACAATACTCAGACAAAATTAGGGAATGTGTTGCAACTGTAAAATATCCTAGCACTTTTTGGTAAACAGTTACTGGAAATATCTTCAAATGGAGGGGGAAAAGAAATCTTTTTCTGCCTTAAAACCACTATAAAACTAAATGTATAGAGATTTATTTTATCTATGTGCAAATTTGTCATCTTATGATGTATTAGTAAATAGAAATGAGGTGGTTAGTAGGGAAGCAATAATTCTGAGTTGTTCTCTAGGTAGCAATTATTTATTGAAATGCTAGACAGTTGCTTGCATGTGAGTTGCATAACCATGCAAAACTGTGTGTCATCAAACACACACATGTGATGTCATCGGAGGACATTGTGACATATTACTTCTTAAATATTGTGCCTTAGAAAATGCAAAGCTGTTGCACACAGTCAGCAATGACTTATGGATGCAATAAATCCAAAAAGCTGAAGTCCTTCATGGACTTCACCTGGGGAATCTTTTTAATTAAAAATAAAATAAATCAGACAAATGTTTTGGAATTAAAGTGATATCCTATATTTTAATCAACCACCTGCATGATTTACTGTTAAGGGGTTTTGATAACCAAGATGCTTACTCTTTGCTTGTGGTTGTTGTAACATTTTACCACAAAGAATGTGCAACATGGAAATTCAAGAATCAGATTTCGTAACTGACGTGGTACACCTGTATAACTCCATGCGCTGCATTAAGGATATGTAAATATATGATGTCTGAACCTAATTTTTAAATGAGACTGTGCATGCTTGTGCATTTATTTGATATGAGTCTCTAGCACTGCTTCACCTATGTGATAGACTAAATGTGCAAATCAGTCCCCAAGTGTATCAAAGGGTTGGTTGTCTCAGAGGTCAGATCCGCTTCTCATTCATGTAGGGGTAAGTGCCCAAAGGGCTTAGGAGCATGGTTGGGTTAAAGTGCATGAACAAGGGGGGTGGGATATTGCATCGCACTGCAGACACATCACTGGGTCTCTGGAGCTGCTTAGAAATTGATCCCAGTGTCTATCAGATAGTTCTGTATATGCATGTTTTATCTAAGTTGATTGTACGTAAAGTGAAATGAAGCAGCGCTCAATGATGACAATTTTTTCCCCTAATGAACATCTATTCACCAGCACAGAATAATTTTCAGCAGTTTTCTAAATCGTACTTGCCAGCTTCTTATGTTTGATTTTATCTTCCCTCTGGAATCTTACATGGCAAATTCATTCAGGCTAAGATTTTTTTTTTTTTCAAGTTTAAACACATTAAGATGATACATTTCTAGCCAGGAACTTTGAGCACAGAAAAAAATAATGCTTTCCTACATTTGAACTGCAATGTAAATGTATTTGTTGCAAAAAATGATTTATTATTTCTGAGCAAGTACAATATATGTAATGGGTTTTAGATGTTTTGGAATTTATTTAGCCTCTTACTACTTCAGAGAACCTGAACAGGTGTCATAACCCATCTGTATTTTACAAGCCCATTTTCATGGTGTATTTTTTTCTTACTCTTGCTATGTAGTGTTATTGATGCAGTACATCTGTAGTTTTCAGTGAATGTTGTAAAGGTTGGTGAACCAGAAGGGGACCATCCTTATCTGCATGTCCATTCAGGGACAAGGATTGCTCTCCTTGCTGGGGCTAATGTTGAATACCAATTATGCTAATCTTCCCTTTATTTTATTTATTCTAAAATGCCTCTGGAAATTAGGAAAACTTGTCTAAAACTCAACAGCTTTTATAGTAAATGTATGTTTATAAATAAAATGTTGATTACCTTTGGTGGTGTTGATTTTACTTATTCTAACTAAGTTCTATTGTGTGAACCTGGATTGCAGAGTAGAGGCTCCTGTTTGGTTGGGTTTGGCTGAGCCAAGTTATGTTCCCCAGGACTTAGTATATGAGATGAGACAATAAAAAAGACATAGCTGAGATGGCAATATACACTGTGGATTGCCACTGTAAGCTGTAGCCCTCTATTCACAAGAGCATATGTGTGTATTGTGGTAAGAGATGAACAAAAAATGCTTTCTGCAGAGAGGCAAACCCAAAGTCCTCAGATCTTTCATCAGTGTTGGTGGGCTGTGGTTCAGACCATCATCAACAAAACACTTTATATATGGCAATGCAAATATATGCTTGGTTCATTCCACTTCCATGTAGCAAAGATCCTGGAGTTTGTGCTTAGTCTTGCCTATGCTGGGGCATCTCACTAATTCTTGCATTGCAACAAGTGTGTGACTTGTCCAGTCACCAGCAGAAAGTTCACGCAAAATTTTAAACTAATAACCTTTTTCTACTTTTTAATTGTGTCTTAAGTGGATGACGAGTTTGGGTTTGTGCCAGCAGAGCATCTCGGCTGTTAGATGAGTCAGGAGGATGTACAGACAATTTAATTTTTTTTAATTAATTCATTCGTTCATTCATTTTCATCCTGGTGCCGTAATGGCAGTGGTGGTGGTCATACATTATTCCTGCTTGTCCATGAGGTCCAGCATTCTCTCTGCTGGCATTCCCGGCAGTGCCAGCGGTGCCCTGTCTGCGGGAGCAGTTCGCTGCCACTGGAGGTTGCTCTGAGGCTGGATTTGGAGGCAGTCAGGCAGCTACTCCTGCTCCAGCAACTCTGCACCAAAGCTGCTTGGCACACGGACAAAACACGGTTTGTGACCCTTATGAGCCAGGGAAAGTGGTAGAAATCCTGGTATGATTTTTTTGTAATATTATTATTATTACTATTTTCTAGTGAATGTGACCTGCGCAGTCATTTATGATCCTGAAAGGGAACCATTGTGAGTCCATTCACTGGGCAAAATAATTTTGAATACCTTATAAATGCGGAGTTGTGTCACCTAGTCATTCCCCAGGACCTTCACCTGCAGGTAGCAAAGGCTGCCTGGAGAGCCCCAAGAGAAGCCACGGTGCTAACAGGGCTTTAGCAAGCCCCGGGAGAGGACACTGGCTTGTTGAGCAGTGGGATGGAGGTGAGGGCATATGGGACAGATAGGAGGTGATGTGAGAGAGGGGTGGGCTGTTACAGCTGAGGTTCAAACATCGGAGCAGAGGACACCCCATGCAAAGAGTTTCATGTGCATAGCCCCCCAGGAGATCTTTGTGCCTCTTCTACATCCTGTCCAGCTGCAATGCCTCCATCCCTCTCCTTTTCCCCATCATAGCCTGTTGGGACAAGTGCTCAGTTTCCTCCATCCAACCCACTTTGTTTTGCTCATTTTTTTCCTCTCCTTAGCAGATGTTTTGGTGCAGAGGTCATCAGTGAGCACAGACAGGTGCTGGTAGCTGCAGGAAGCTCTAGGCACAGGTGTTGAGCATCCGTAGCTTGCTTACCTTGTGAGTATTGATCCTGATCCAGAAAACTCTCCTGGAGCATAGTTAAAAGCAGGCAACTACCACTTCGTTTAGAAAATTAGCTTTAGGTACAGTTCTTGATGGGTCCCCTTCTTGGTAATGGGAGGCTGGACTCAATAAAATTTGCAGAGTGGAAACCTGTCCTTTTCTCCCCTTTACCAGGTTGCGTAACTGGGGAACAAAATGACAAGATGACAAAATGACAAGATGACAGAGACACATCTGCAGTGAAAATCAGAAGGGGTTGTGGATGCTCAAAATGAGCAGATGACCACCACTTGGATGGGAAAACAAAAATGTCAGTAAAACATATCTCCTGCAAAGGCAAACAGGTCTCCTGTATAGTTTTAAAAGCCTCCGGTAGGAATGTAATTTCATCTGAATTTCCTGATAAGGGGAAATGACTAAACTGGAAGCTGCTCAAGTTTTTCAAGTCATACGAGCCCAAAAAAAAAAAAAAAAAGAGATAGAAGGTACAGGACAGGATGTGACTCTTCCATGGTACAGCAGAGGGTCGTTATTTGAGGAGTTGGGGGGGAGGTGTCTATTTCCTAGTTCATGTTTTTAATAAAATGTAGCATGAGTTAAACATGCAAGAGGGAGCTGCTGCTCTGTAGATCTTATTAAATACCCCATGCTCTGCAGGAGTAGCTAGTGAAGCTAGGTAAACCCCAAGGCATATGGGGTTTTAAGTCATTTAGGAAAAAAGCCCCTCCATTATTTAAGATAATCTTACAAGTCACTGTTAACTCATTCATAGAGTCCATCTGCTTCACTGCACATGATGCACTGTAAATTCTCTTAACTAATGCCACATCCATAGTTCACAGATATATTCTTTCCTAAGCAGATGACCTGATTAAAAACTGCAGAAGCCAGTCATGGGTCTAGAAACTAAATAAAAACTAACCAAATTGCAAGTTTTTCCTTGAAATAACAGAATTTATCAAACAGGAAAAGAAAGAGAGATTTCAAAAAAAATGCCTTTTTTCTGTTACATCTGATTATAAACAAAACCACTCCAATTACAAGCACAGAAACAGAGACATGCTATCCACATCTCTGGAAACGACATGTAGTAATGCTGGAACTGCTGTTCCAGGGACCTAAACTTGGGGGTTTGCAATGGCTGTCCCCTTTTTTCAGTGGCCAAGTGCTCTTTGGTGGGTTGGTTCATAAAACTTTGTGAATGTGCACAGCTCAAAGGAGATGTTACAATAATCCTCAAAATAGCAATATGTCCCTATCATTCAAATTGAAGATGTCACCTCCAAATGTACTTTCCTGGGACCACATCTGAAACATTGCCAGGTGAGAACACAGTGGCTGTTTTTTCCAAAAGATGTTAAATGTAGGGGGTTTTTTAAAATCTATTTCCAAACTTTTCTTATGAAAAATAATTTTCAGTGAGTGATTTGGCATCTGTGTGGTACATTAATTAATACTAATGTTTTGAAGTAAACTAGATTGCAGCATGGACTTTCTGTGTTGGACTTTGTACAATTATGCAGGTCCTAAAGTTTTTCCTGACTGATACACAAAGATAACACTCAGATAATTTCCAGCCTGGGGGTGAAACTCTGAACTGTTTCGTGAACTGATGTTCTGGAAGTTTTCTAGAAAACATTTGTCGTGGCTCATATTTGATGATTTTGGTGCCCTTCCTGGTTCCATGGGTTTATACTGAAACCATTCTTGGGCAGAGGGAAGTGATCATGGTTTGCCATTGTCTTTGGCGAGTGAAAGACACTGCTCACAGAGTCTGGATGGGGAAAGCCTTTCATTGAAGCCAGACATGACTCCTGTAAACCCTCTGTGCCCAGCCATGTCCCAGTTAGGCTTTAGGTTAAATGTGAAGACAGCAGTGTTATGTAGACCTATGAAATGCATTTTGTCTTCTTGTTCTGAGTATTCACAAATCTTCAGCTGAGTTTAAAATGGATGGATAAAAGGACAGCACTCTATGTAAAAAAAAAGCCAGTAAACACGTATCTTATCTATACTCCTAAATGCATTTTGCATCTTGTTATTATTTTGAAACACGTAGGATGACATTAAGACGGGGTCTATGCCACTAACTGATATAATTACTAATCTGTTCCAGTGGACTAAAACTGAATTTTAAAATTAACTTGCAGCCTCACAAACTCACTTTCAACCATTTCTGTTGGAATGCCACCTATGTGTCCAGTGTGCATCTGCATGATGATGGCAATGCTGGGAAGTAGTGGCAGAGGCCAATCAACCATCCTGAACTCTCATCCCTTCCACTTTGCTCTACCAAAGCTGTTATGTCTCAGAGCATTTGTCACAGATACACCGGGATACACAGCAGTTGAAAAGTCATTATCTCTTTCCAAAGTAGTGACTAATGTGCTTTTGCCCACAGCAATGTGGAAAGTCATAGGAAGATTTGGCTGTAGAATCAGCTGTGTTTGCCTTATGGAAAACCAGCTGCATTTTCCTAGTATCTTTTTAGAGATATAGAGGTCTTTATTTCTTTCAAATCTTTTCTGGTAGCTTTCTTCTTATATTTCTCCTGGAAATGTTGATTGGTATTTTTATATCCTTCTGCCATTAGCAAACATGTAATTTTAAAGTTTGGTTTTTTTCTCTGATTAAAACAATATTTCACTTGACTGGGTGATACTGTCCAGTGTAATTACATTTGGTTTAATAATCAAAACTTTAAAGAACCTTTCAAAAAAAATCATGACAGCTGACTTTTCTGCCTGTGGTGACAGCCCATCTACCACAATATTCTGCAACACAGGGGCCAGCATATCCCACCTGGTGGCAATGCACAGTGGTGAATCAAAATCATCACAGCCAACTGATGCCCTCACTGTGCTCCATTTTATACAGAAAAGGATGGTGCTTATAGTTCATTGCAAGGCTTGCCTCATTAAATCATCTTTTTCAGACAATGGACTTCTGAGAAACCTTTGGAAAAAACAAACTCCAAGGAGCTCAGGTGGTGGCACTGCCTTTGTAGTGATTCTTTTCATTGTGGAGGATGAAGGAGAAAGAGAAAGCTTTTCACTTGCACAAGCTGCGAGTCATCCATGCTGTTGGGTTTATATCTGGGAAAAAAGCCTGCATGGTTATGTACAGTGACATTTACAGCCATTGGCTTTCTTCAAATTGATGTACATGTTACAATAACTTCAAAGCTGCATTTTTTCACATGGGGCTGTGTGTTAATAGTTAAATAACTGAACAAGGTGTAGGTTCAAATAAACAGTTTATGATGGAATATAATCACTTGACTTGAATGCTTAAAATCTGCTTACAGCACAAATACAATTAAACCGGTAGATATGTTTCTCTTTACAGCATCAAGGGTCTTCAAGCACATGGCTGTTTTCACACATTTCCAGCTGACAATAATGCTCATGTGCTTTTACCCCAGGAGC